CCATAGAGAAAATAAACACTCTGATCAAAGAAAACAGCAAGTCCAACAAACTCTCATCACAAAATATTCAGGAAATATGGGACACAATAAAAAGACCAAACCTAAGAATAATAGGAGTAGAAGAAGGAGAAGAAGTGCAGCTCAATGGTCCAGAAAATATATTTAATAAAATTATAGAAGAAAACTTTCCCAACCTAAAGAAAGATATACCTATGAAGGTTCAAGAAGCATACAGAACACCGAATAGGCTGGATCAAAAAAGAACATCCCCTCGCCATATAATTATCAAAACACAAAGCTTACAGAATAAGGAAAGAATATTAAGAGCTGCAAAGGAAAAAGGCCAAATTACTTATAAAGGTAAACCTATCAGACTTACACCTGACTTCTCCATGGAAACCATGAAAGCCAGAAGGTCCTGGATAGATGTACTTCAGAAACTAAGAGACCATGGATGCAAGCCCAGATTACTATACCCAGCCAAGCTTTCGTTCACTATAAATGGAGAAAATAAAATTTTCCAGGATAAAAACAAATTCAAACAATACGCAGCCACAAATCCAGCCTTACAGAAAGTAATAGAAGGAAAATTACTAACCAAGAAGTCCAACAATGACCACAATAAATCAGACATCTAGAGACCCTTCACCAACACAAATCAAAGAAGGGAAACACACAAACTCTACGACTAAAAAAATGACCGGAGTTAACATCCACTGGTTATTAATATCACTTAATGTCAATGGACTCAACTCACCTATTAAAAGGCACAGGCTAAGAGATTGGATACGAAAACAGGATCCAACATTCTGCTGTTTACAAGAAACCCACCTCAACCACAAAGACAGGCACCTACTCAGAGTAAAGGGCTGGGAAAAGGCTTATCAAGCAAATGGACCTAAGAAACAAGCAGGTGTGGCCATACTAATCTCTAACAAAGTTGACTTCAAACTTAAATCAATCAGAAGAGATGGAGAGGGGCATTTTATACTCATAACAGGAACAGTTTAGCAGGATGAAGTCTCAATTCTGAACATCTATGCCCCTAATTTAAAAGCACCCACGTACATAAAAGAAACATTGCTAAAACTCAAGGCAGCCATCAAACCACACACACTAATAGTAGGAGACTTCAACACTCCTCTCTCACCAATGGACAGGTCAAACAGACAGAAACCTAACAGAGAAATAAGAGAATTAATGGAGGTAATGAATCAAATGGACTTAACAGACATCTATAGAACATTCCACCCAAATAGGAAAGAATATACCTTCTTCTCTGCAGCTCATGGAACCTTCTCAAAAATCGACCACATAGTCGGTAACAAAGCAAACATCCACAGTTACAAAAAAATATTAGTAACCACCTGTGTCTTATCAGATCACCATGGATTAAAGTTAGAATTCAACAACAATGCTACCCCCAAAAAGCCTACAAACTCATGGAAACTGAACAGTCAACTACTGAACCATACCTGGATTAAGGAAGAAATTAAGAAAGAAATTAAAGTCTTCCTGGAATTCAATGAAAATAAAGAAACAACATACTTAAACTTATGGGACACTAAGAAAGCAGTCCTAAGAGGAAAGTTCATAGCACTAAGTGCCCACTTAAAGAAAACAGAGAAAGCTCACATTGGAGACTTAACAGCCCAACTGAAAGCTCTAGAAAAAAAAGAAGCAGACTCACCTAGGAGGAGTAGAAGACTGGAAATAATCAAACTGAGGGCTGAAATCAACAAAATAGAAACACAGAAAACAATCCAAAGAATCAATGAAACAAAAAGCTGGTTTCTGGAGAAAATCAACAAGATTGACAAACCCCTATCCAAACTAATCAAACGGCAGAGAGAGAATTTGCAAATTAATAAGATCAGAAATGAAAAGGGGGACATAACCACAGACACAGAGGAAATTCAGAGAATCATTAGATCTTACTACAAAAGCCTATATGCCACAAAACTGGAAAATGTAAAGGAAATGGACACTTTTTTAGATAAATACCATATACCAAAGTTAAACCAGGACCAGGTGAACAATCTAAATAGACCTGTTAGTCGCGAAGAATTAGAAGAGGTTATCAAAAACCTCCCTACCAAAAAAAGCCCAGGCCCAGATGGTTTCAATGCGGAATTCTACCAGAACTTCCAAGAAGACCTAATACCTATACTCCTTAATGTATTTCACAATATAGAAACAGAAGAGTCATTGCCAAATTCCTTTTATGAAGCTACAGTTACTCTGATACCAAAACCGCACAAAGACTCAACCAAGAAAGAAAATTATAGACCAATCTCACTCATGAACATCGATGCAAAAATCCTCAACAAAATACTGGCAAACCGAATCCAAGAACACATTAGGAAAATTATCCATTATGACAAGTAGGCTTCATCCCAGGGATGCAGGGCTGGTTCAACATACGAAAATCTATCAATGTAATCCAGCATATAAATAAACTGAAAGAAAAAAACCATATGATCATTTCATTAGATGCTGAAAAAGCATTTGACAAAATTCAACACCCCTTTATGATAAAAGTATCGGAGAGATTAGGGATACAAGGGTCATACCTAAATATAATAAAAGCTATATACAGCAAGCCGACAGCTAACATTAAATTAAATGGAGAGAAACTTAAAGCCATCCCACTAAACTCAGGAACACGACAAGGCTGTCCACTCTCGCCATACCTCTTCAATATAGTACTTGAAGTTCTAGCAATAGCAATAAGACAACATAAGGGGATCAAAGGGATTCGAATTGAAAAGGAAGAAGTTAAACTTTCGTTATTTGCAGATGATATGATAGTGTACATAAGCGACCCCAAAAACTCCACCAAAGAACTTTTACAGCTGATAAACACCTTTAGTAATGTGGCAGGATACTAGATAAACTCCAAAAAATCAGTCGCCCTCTTATACACAAAGGATATGGAAGCAGAGAGGGAAATCAGAGAAGCTTCACCTTTCACAATAGCCACAAACAGCATAAAATATCTTGGGGTAACTCTAACCAAGGAAGTGAAAGATCTATTTGACAAGAACTTTAAGGCATTGAAGAAAGAAATTGAGGAGTATACCAGAAAATGGAAGGACCTTCCTTGCTCTTGGATTGGGAGGATCAACATAGTAAAAATGGCAATTCTACCAAAGGCAATTTATAGATTCAATGCAATCCCCATCAGGGTCCCATCAAAATTCTTCACAGATCTTGAGAGGACAATAATCAACTTTATATGGAAAAACAAAAAACCCAGGATAGCCAAAACAATCCTATACAATAAAGGATTGTCTGGAGGCATTACCATCCCTGACTTCAAACTCTATTACAGAGCTACAGTGATGAAAACAGTGTGGTACTGGCATAAAAACAGAGAAGTTGACCAATGGAATCGTATAGAAGACCCGAATTTTAACCCACAAACCTATGAACACCTCATTTTTGATAAAGGAGCCAAAAGTATACAATGGAAGAAAGAAAGCATTTTTAACAAATGGTGCTGGCATAACTGGATGTCAACCTGTAGACGAATGAAAATAGACCCATATCTATCACCATGCACAAAACTCAAGTCCAAATGGATTAAAGACCTCATTATCAGTCAGAACACAGTGAACCTGATAGAAGAGAAAGTGGGAAGTACCCTACAGGAGATGGGCACAGGAGATCGCTTCCTATGTGTAACCCCAACAGCACAGACTTTAAGGGCAACATTGAATAAATGGGACCTACTAAAACTGAGAAGCTTCTGTAAAGCAAAGGACACTGTCACCAAGACAAATAGGCAACCTACTGACTGGGAGAAGATCTTCACCAACCCCGCAACAGACAAAGGTCTGATCTCCAAAATATATAGAGAACTCAGGAAACTAGACTTTAAAATGCTAATTAACCCAATTAAAAAATGGGGCACTGAACTGAACAGAGAATTCTCAGCAGAGGAAGTTCAAATGGCCAAAAGACACTTAAGGTCATGCTCAACCTCCTTAGCAATCAGGGAAATGCAAATCAAAACAACTTTGAGATATCATCTTACACCTGTCAGAATGGCTAAAATAAAAAACTCCAATGATAGCCTTTGCTGGAGAGGCTGTGGAGGAAGGGGAACACTCATCCATTGCTGGTGGGAATGCAATCTTGTGCAACCACTTTGGAAATCGGTGTTTCGGTTTCTCAGGAAATTCGGGATCAACTTACCCCTGGACCCAGCAATACCACTCCTGGGAATATACCCAAGAGATGCCCTATCACATGACAAGAGCATTTGTTCAACTATGTTCATAGCAGTATAATTTGTAATAGCCAGAACCTGGAAACAACCTAGATGCCCTTCAATGGAAGAATGGATGAAGAAAGTATGGAATATCTACACATTAGAGTACTATGCTGCGGTAAAAAACAATGACTTCTCGAATTTTGCATGCAAATGGATGGAAATAGAAAACACTATCCTGAGTGAGGTATCCCAGAGCCAAAAAGATGAACATGGGATGTACTCACTCATAATTGGTTTCTAGCCATAAACAAGGGTCACGGAGTCTACACTTGGTGATCCCAAAGAAGCTAAGTAAGAAGGTGAACCAAAGGAAAAGCACATAGTTGTCCTCTTGGCTATGGGAAGTAGACAAAATTGCCAGGGAGAAGATTGAGATCTTGGGGGTGGGGTGGGATGGGGGTAAGGGGAGATGGGGAGAGAGGGGGGAGAGGGGGAGAATGGGGGGGGGCTTGGGAAAGGGGGAGGATTGGGATGAAGGAAGGTTGGATGGGGGAGCACGGAAGCACGGTTCTTAGTTAAGGGAGCCACCTTAGGGTTGGCAAGAGACTTGAACCTAGAGTGGCTCCCAGATACCCAAGCCAAGGTCCCCAGAGAAAAAATAAAATTAATTATAAGTAATAAAAAAAACGAGAAAAATAAAAAAAAAGAAACCATTTTGTGTAACTTTTGATTTTATTGAGAACTTTCAGTCAGGCGTACATGCTGGTAATCCTAGCTTGAAGCTGTCTCAGACCACATGCTAGGCCAGTCTGATACATACCACAATGAAGTTTCAACACATATTACATGTATGTACATTCCACAGACAGATGCAGATAAATACATGCTAGTGTCGTTACAGCAAAATAGAAACATCTTCATGTAGTTATTATCATGTAACTAGGGTCTTAAGGACTTGTAATTCTACTTTATTAAACTGAATATTGTGCTAAACACCACAAAGTGCTTATAGCCATATTTCATATTTAATTGCTATTCTAAATTTTTTGTCTTTTTTTTAATTTTTTGTCTTATAGGCTATTAATGTATACCAACAAATAGTCCCAGACACTGTTGAGCCTTTTGAATGTCACAAAGTTTTATAATGATAACTCTTAAGGTTAATTATTGAAAAATGTGCCCGTCCCTTAAGTTTCCCAATTTCTTTATCTAATCAAGTAGTGTGTGCAATTTCACAATCTAATTCAAGTTAATTTATAACACATTTTAAAAGCATTTCTGTCAAAAAAAAATCAGAATGAGGAGTTGTGTGTCTTTGATGGTTTTCTCCATGCTGCGTCTACCTTAAGTCCCAACAACCAGGCAAAATTCTGCAAACAATCCCTTTTCTAGCAAATAGAAATCCAAGTATATGTTTATAAAAATATAGAATTATAGCCTTAGAAAACACAAAACACTTAATGTTACTATTGAGTTCCCTGCTAATCCTTGGCACTTGGTAAACTAAAATGATAAAGGTTTGTCAAACTCTACAGAGCCTGTATATCTTCATTGAATCTACTTCTGCATGTGTTTCTGAGACAGACTCATGATCTCAGGGGGCACTGTTGGGAAGAAGGTTTCCGGTCACAGTCACTAGCACAGAGCACCCACCTCTCAGATCTTAGAAGGTCAGGACCGTGCGAATGCTGAAATGGATAATGAACAGCCTTTAGTCATTTGTGCATAAGATGTATGCATATGTGTGCATGTAGGAGTATGTGTATATGTATGTATGTATGCATGAGTGTACGTGTATGAGTATGTGTATATGTATATATATGCATGCATATATGTGCTCGTATGTATATGTGTGTATGTATATATGTATGCAAATATATGTATGAGTATGTGTGTATGTGTATATGTATATAGTTTTTAAAAAAGAAAAATGTTCCTTTCTATTATAAAAGTTATATAATTAATTCCGTTAAGGAAAAGTCATCTGGGTTTGAGGTCCACGCCTTCTGTGCCTTCTGCTGAGGGAAGCCCAGTGGATAAAGAATTGACTCTGGGAGTACCTACTTAAATTGCAATTGTCAACAAGAAAGAGTTTGTCCTGCAATAACAGGACTAAGGCCATGACGGGGAGAATGGGAAAGACAATCCAAGAGGGTGTAGACTCCTCAATGCCTACGAGATGGTAAAAGCAGGCAAGACCTACCTTCCCTGTACCCCAGATACAGGAACTGGGGGAGAGTGGGTGTTGTGTTCTTAGTTACTGAATATTAGATTACTTAATAAATGAAAGGGGGCTTTAGTTCAGTAATAAAGCCACTCTGGCACATTGACACTGGAGAAGGCTGACTGGGATTGGAAAACAGAAAGCAGAAGGCCCATTAAGTTAGTGTCAGCATGCCCAGAGGAGCCAGGATCAGACTGGGCCGAAACGATGATTATGGGCAGGGAAGAGGAGAGACACTGGAGGAGAGGGGATGGGCAGGGGTGAGTGTGTGAGGTCCTGTCTGCAGGTCTCAGCATCACTTTGGACACACTGGGCAGGAGTCAGAATGAAGATGCAGAGCTGTGGTTTCGGCTCTGTAAAAGCAGAACAAGTGTCATCGTCTGCTTAGATGTACAAAAGCAAGAGTTGTTTGGTGAACTAGACAGAAGTGAAACACTCCGGGGGTCCTGTGCAGGAGGTCATGGACATTGAAGGGCTCAGGTTTGCAAATGTCATTTGGGAAGTTTCTGCATAGGGAGATAGGAGAAGTAAGATTTCCAAAAGCAGTTTTGTTTATTTGGAAAACAACTAGCAACTATTTTTTTTTGAACCATACTAAAATATTAGTTCTGTGTATGTAAATAAATTTCGACTTTTCTCCAGGTAGAAGCCCATTCATTGTGGACTTGTTTAAAAATTAAAATTTGAACAGTGTACATAATATTATGACTCTGTCAACTGCATCAGGCAGGGAAAGAACACGGAAGAGAAACGTTAGTTCCTGTTATAGCAGAATCCAAACCCACTGCATGCTGTGGGCGCTCGATATTTACACAACCCATGAACATCGTCTATTCTGATCTCACAGGCGGGTCCCAGACTCCATAAGGAAAGGGGAGCTCAACTTTGACTCCTTCCCACTCCACCTTGCTCTTGCCTGGTGCTCAGGAGGGAGAAGAGGGCGAGAGGAACAGCCGCTGTTTGCCCGGCTTACAGCGCTTCGGGTGAGAAGTCTCGCCTGTGTGAACAGAGTGTACCCTGGCAATGCTCCCGTGAGACCAGATATTATTTATTTGCCTTTTGTAACCTTAGTTTCATCAGCTGGATATGGCAAGAATAATATCCGAGAAACAAAATCCAGAAAGCAAACAAGTTGCAAAAGAGTTTTGGGAACTATAAATATGTTCATTGCGGCACTGCTGGAGAATTCTAGCAGCTTTATGTTTAAAAAAAAATGGCCAATGAAATCCATCTTCTGTGAAAAACTAAAGCCTAGAGTATTTAAAAGAGCTCATATAGGGCTGACCTTCTAAGAGAGTAGTTATGTTTCCCTGGCTAGCTTAAATGATCCAAAAGAAGGGAAGAAGATGGGTATATTTATAAATACTAATTTTTAAAAGTGGGAAAGCATCAAAAGACACCATAAGAAACATACCTTTGCCCTGAATAAAGCAATTCAAATCCTTCATTGATGTTTTTGAAAGGCAAGGTGTGGGTTACCAACTGGTCCAGGTCAAACTTCTTCTCCAGGAGCTCAGTCACCAGTTTGGGGACATCATCTCTGCTCTTCCAACCTGTGCGTAAACTCGGGCTAGTTCTGCATGCGTCGCTATACAATCCTCACATTTTATGGCATTATATTTGTGTCATTTCTCTTATGCATTCTCGACATCCCCCAGTTGAGTCATTCCCAACATACAAGTGAGCTGTATTTCTCCCATTTAAGAAACTACGGCTCACAAACCCCTTCCTGATTCCTGTGTCTCCTTCCTGTTGTCCCACACCTCTGTGTCGCACAGAACCACAGAGAGAACCGTCTCCCCTGCACTCTTTCTGGTTCCAGTCCCTTTGATTCTCTCGCGAGTTCACCCTAGATGGATTTATACTGTAGCACACTGTCCTTCCAGCTCTAGCCTAGCTTTCTCCCATGGTCATTTTGGCACAGTGGTCGACTAGGATTCCTATGTTAATTTGTACTCTGGGGAGTCTTGGTGGTTGAAGTCCCCCTGCCCCTCACTCTGCTCACTTGCTTCCTGTCACGTTATCATCTTCATTCCTCATTCTCCTACCTCAGCTAGGAAAAGATCATTCTGTAAGATAGAAACCTCCACATCTCCCAGACTTCTACTGTGTCCCAGGGCTTAGTTCTCTACCTTTTCTCCTCTTTGTGTCTCTCAGGTGATCTCTTCTATTCTAAAGACTTCAAATAAGCTATATTTACAACATTTCTGTGTCTGTCTCTAGTGAGACCTTTCCTTGAGCGAGAGGCTCATAGCTAGCAGCCTATCTATAGCATGTGTTCCTCAAAGTATCTGAAAATCAGAAGGCTTAACAATATATCCAACATTGAATTTTGTACTATAAACATGCGACTAAGAGTGTTGTTGTCACCGTGGGATCAACACTAAATGATCCTAGAAAGGAGTAGAGTAACAGTGGTAAACGCTAGCCATATAAATGTCACGTGACCACTCTTGATCTCCATCCCCTTCCCACTAGTCCCCAACTTGCTCCTTCTGCAGTCTGGAAATCTGAACATGGATCATCATCAACTTAATTGCAACATTAATTTTTTTATTATTCCATTCATATTTTGTTTGTATTTTCCAACAAATTATATACTTCTCTAATTCAAGAACAATCATCTTTCTCCTTCTTACGTTCTCAACGGACACTCAAATGGTTATTATTCTCTCTGTATAAGACAGAATCTAATATGAGGAGTACCACCTATGTTCCTAGTGCTGCATGAAGGTACCAGAGAATGAGACATCATGGGCAGGGATCGAAAATGTCATTATACTGCCTACTGCAGGAGAGTGATTCTGGCCTCATCCTTACAGCTTCTTTGTTATTTGGGGTGGAAGTTGAACTGTCCCTATGGAATGTGGCATTCCAGCTGTTTATTTATTTGGGCTCCGGGCACAGAACTTTTGCCAAGGTCTTCATGAGTAGGGCAAGCTCTCTGTCATAAGTGAGTGTCGTGTGTGTGTGTGTGTGTGTGTGTATGGAAAACAATAGATGTCATCAGAATTTTCTGCCATGGAAGTCATCCCGGTGGAGACAATGTCTGATGCCTTTTATTCAGGCTTTTGGGTCACAGGAGTTGCAGATACTAAAGTGTGCCCCCTGGTGCTAGCCCTGAGTCACTAACGGAACAGATAGCTGTCTTTTGTGTGATTGCTATGGCAGCTCCACTTGGGGTCATTTAACCACTCATCCTTGGAAGAATGTACTTGGAAGGTGAGGAGATGAGAAGACAAACCTCTCTCGCTTGATAGGCAGGAGAAGGAAAGTTACTACTTGCTGTCCAGGGGCCCAGCTGCTCTCACCTCCAAAGACGCAACCCTTCCACGTCCGCCCAGTGAAGAGCAGCATTGGGTCATAACTGAGCATCTTGGCTGATGGAGGAGCGCCAACCACCACACTGGTTCCATAGTTCATATGGCAAGATGAGAGGGCATCAACCTGAGTTCAAAATGAAGGAGATTGTTTGCTTATGGAGGTCATGGGCTCAGGAATGACATCAGGTGGTCAGAGTTCCAGTAGTTAACATGGTTTCCAACTACCAAATCTTATGTTTCTATTTGATTTAAAACGTCTCAGTGCAACTTTAGTCCTTAATAATCCCTACCAGCATATACCTCTTAGGATATCAAGTAGACTTTACTGTGGTCATTGTAATTGTCATTGTTTTTTAGTATGTTTAATCAACCTTCAGTGACTAACATTCATACCAACATGAAGACTTCAGATAAGCCTTAGTTGTTATTTGAGCTAAATCAATTAGATAAATTAAATCAATTAGAATGAAATTTTCATTTGAAAATTAAGCACAAACCCTAAAATATGAGGCAACGGAGTTTCTTGGCAACATCTCTGGCTCTAGGTCCACGTTTTTGTTCATTCGTCCTTCCGGTTATTCATTAATAACACTTGAATACCCAGTAGATAGCAACACCTGACAGTGTGCTTCAGACGGCATGTCTCAAGCTTCCACCTCAGAATGAGCGGACCTCACAGTGGATCTGTCTGGCTCCCTGCTCTGTAATGGGCGCCCTAGAATGCTACAGTCACTCCAGAACACATTCCAGGTGACACCAAAGAGGGGCTGTGGCGGGGATGATGAGCTGGAGGTTTCTTCTCCATTTCCAAATAAATGCCTTAGAGCAAATTTCACCAGTTAAGAGAGCAAGACTGGCTTTGTCCAGTTTCCAGGACTCCTAATTCTACACAAGGCCATGGCTTTGTAATTCCAAGAACTCTGTGCTGTCAGCCGTGGGGTGCCTCAGAGGAGGTGTTGTTCAGAGTGCTGAAGTTCGTGTGTACTGGGGACTGAGGCAGGACAGCTGAGCTGGGTGAAGCCAGGGGAGGTTTGGAGGAAGGTAGCCATGTGTAGACAACCCCTTCCCTCCGCATCGTCTCCTTAGCTCTCCTCAGTTCTCATCACAAAACAAATTCAAGACAGGGAATCACTTTTGCCAAGACCCCCGGGCACACAAGGAAAATAATGGGCCACAGGATGGTTCTAATGACATGATACCTACATGATCAGGTAAAACCGATCTTAAGATTGCGACTTTTAGGCACAATCGTTATGGGGTTATCATTATATTTTTCATCGCATTTTTATGCATTTATTTGTTCATGGGTGTGGGCAAGGGCTTGCCATGGAGTGTGCGTGGAGATCAGAGGACACACTTGTAGGAGCTGGTTCTCTTTTCTACATGTAAGTACTGAAAATCAAATGCAGGTCGTCAGGCTTGGAGACAAGCACCTTCGCCCACTTCGCCGTCTCATCAGTCCTCTTTCCTGGCCTGAGTCACAGATATTCCATAGTTGATTATTAATAAGGCGATGTAAAATGAATTTTAGCCTGAATACATCTTGTAGCTTGGGTACTTTATGGCCCCCTGACTCTTGAGTCTTACCATGGTTTCAAGACGCCCAATAACTTCAAAAGTGTACTGCACGGTGTTCCCGGTCATGTCTGACAGCACCTCGCTGATAGGCTTGGTGGAGTCCTTGGGACTGATACACTCGGTGGCGCCTACAGCCAGGGCCTTTGGGAATTTGTCTTTGTTGATGTCAATTCCAATGATCCTGGAGGCACCAGCTGCCTTACAGCCCATGATGACGGACAGGCCAACTCCTCCCAGGCCGAACACAGCACAGGTGGAGCCAGGGCTGACCTGTGGAGAGGAAAGTTCCTCCAGGAGTTAACAGTGAAACCTGGCAAGGAGTCTCCGTGTCAGGAACACAAAATTCAGAGCATGGCCGTGACTTGGGCCAGGACTCCAGGTGACTTACTCAGATGGCATTGACACCAAAAGAATTAGGAGAAGAAGAATGTCTGAGAAAAGGATTTGCCAAAGTGAAGGCAACATCTGTAGCCCTTACTAAAGGTTTACCCAGAGGCCAGCAGCCTTTGTAGCCGGCGGAGCCCTACCCACAACCCCCTCGGCCCTCACAGGAGGATTAGACAAGCCCTGAGTTCTCTCTGTTGTCTTTCCACAAAGCCATGTGGATTTGTTTTAGGTTCGGTCTGACTGGCAGTGTCTGAATAGCCATGACTCTGAGTCATTTAGAGCTCTAGTGTCTTATTTTGCCCCAGCTAAGTCTAACCTCCATGTGATATGTAATTCAATGGTTGATGGGTAACTCAAGGAAGAAATTCTTCTTAAATCACCTTTGGGATTTTTACCTAGTACTCTGCTAGATTAGAGAAGGGTTCAGCCCCTAGCCATTTTCCTGCTAGAAGAAGAACGAAGATTGGATCCAAATGATCGCTTAGAAACTCACTAGGATTTGGGGTTACACGGAAGCTGTTCTGGTCTTCCCTGTGCCCTCCAACCCGTGTGTGGAAATGTTAGCTTTCTGTACCTCAGCAGCTGGTCCTATTTAGGGGTCATCAAGTTACAATGAGGTCATTAGGAATCGCCTTGCTGTGGCTTAGATGTAGTTAGAGCTATGGCTCATGGGCTGTGTGCTGGGGACTTGGTGTCCAGTGCCACCAAGCAAGTGGCTGTGAAACCCGTGTGGCCTCATGATGAATGAGTGGGTCCTTGAAGGGGTTGTCCTCCACAGGGATTAATTCGTGGGGGACCTTGGTTAGTTCCTTGGAGAGTGGGCTGTGTGGGGTCACATGGTACACTTGGTCTCTGCTCTACCCTGCTGTCTCCAGTTGTTTTTTAAGCTGGTAGAGGTCCCTAGCCAGAGGCTGAAGAGATGGAGCCATGTGAGCTAGAACTTTTGATCCTCAAATACCTGTTTTCTTTTTAACATACCTATATTCAGGCATATCGTTACAGCAACATAAAACCAACTAGCACATCCCCAATCCAATGTGACTAGTGGTCTTATTTTTCAAAAATTGAAATTTAGCTATAGGGGGCTGGAGAGATGGCTCAGTGGTTAAGAGCATTGCCTGCTCTTCCAAAGGTCCTGAGTTCAATTCCCGGCAACCACATGGTGGCTCACAACCATCTGTAATGAGATCAGGTGCCCTCTTCTGGCCTGCAGGCATACACACAGACAGAATATTGTGTACATAATAAATAATTAATTTAAAAAAAAAGAAATTTAGCTATAATGATGCAGTCGGGAAGATGATATGGAAAAACTGGGAGATTGACAGCCATGGCTATAGCAAGAAGAGCAGCCTGAAGCAGGTCCTCCCGCAGCAGGTCCTCCTGCAGCGGTCTGCAGGAGGAAGCAACCCTGCCAGCACTTTGACCGTGGACTTCAGATCTCCAGGACTCAGAAAATAAACCTTTGTTGTTTAAGCCATTGAGTCTGCAGCCCTTGTTACCTTCTCCCCGGTAAACTAACATACCAACATCAGTCAGCCTTCGGTGGGAAAAGAGGTTCGTTTCAGGACTGAATATTAACTTTAGTGATTTAACTTGCTGGAGATGTTGCAGAAACAGAAAGCAGATCCAGAAATTGTAGCTCCATAGATTTAGAAATAAAATTTCTATTTTGACACCCTCCCTTCGCCCCCACGTTTTCTTCCAGTATTTCTACATACAAACAACATGTATGTTTTCCCAGTGTTTCACTCAAATTGTTTAGAGTTGGAAGAAAACCACCCTCTGGAAGGCTGACAGGCAGGAAGGCAGAAGCTACGCTAGTCAGTTCCGATTCTTACCTTGGCGGTTTTAACGGCAGCCCCATAGCCTGTTGAAAACCCACAGCCAATGAGACAGGCTCTCTCGGGAGGAGCCCCGCCGTCAATCTTAGCTACCGAAGATTCATCCAGCACCGTGTACTCCGAGAAGGTGCTAGTGTTCATGAAGTGCTGAACTGGTTTGCCCTTGCATGTGAACCTGGTGGTGCCATCAGCCAGTACTCCACGGCCTGTCAGACTGTTCGATACAGCAAATGCACATATTATTTAAGTCAGTTCAGAAGCTAGCACAGGGAACTCGAGTAACAGTGAAAAATGGCACCTACTCGCTCCGAATGCAGAGATTGCCCTCGGGGTTACGGCAGGCATTACATTCTCTACACTGTGGTAGGAAGAGGGGGATGACTTGGTCACCTAGAAAGAAAGTAGCGCGATGGGAGATGTCATTCATTTGCATTAAGCTATGAAGTAAGGCAGTGTGGGGGCTCATGCCTGCAATCTTAGGACAGTGGCGGGTGGCCCGGGAAGATTGCCAGGCCAGCCTGAGCTCTGTGGTGAGTTTCAGGCTAGCCTTGGAAACATTAAGACTGCTCTCCTGTGTCTCTGTAAGCTGGGTTGCGTCTCTACTGACCCCCAGTGATGATGTACTGCTCCCTTCCATAGCATAACCCAGGCCTCCGTACCTGGTCTCACTGTAGTGACCCCTTCTCCAACACTCTCGACAACCCCAACTGCTTCATGGCCCACGATCACTGGAAACTTGGACACCATTGCTCCTTTTATCACATGGTCATCTGTGCGACAGATTCCTGTGGCCAAAATCTGTTCAAACAAAACAATAATAATAAGCATTGCCCAACCAGCAAGCGGATCATTTTACAATGGGATATTTAACTTGCGCTCTTTAACTCTGTATCATTTTCCCGCATTAGAGTGTTGATGCTAAGACAGTCTGAGCCTAAACCAAGCATCAGGCTAATTTCCCTTGCATCGGGGACATACAGCATTGCTGCTTTCCTTCCTGCTTGGATCTTGGTTCTTTCCTACAGGGAAGAGGTCAGATTAGCACCAAAGCCTACTCAACAAGGGCATCTGAACCAAAGGGTTGTCCAAAAGTGGGGGTTACTGAAGGAAGTCATTGCTTCTCAGGCATAAATGAGTCCCTAGTGAAAGTCCTCTGGGTAGCCCTGATGACACAAGCCTGCAGTTCCATCTACTTGGGAGACAGAGGCAAGAGGATCACAAAGTTCACATCCTGCCCAGGCTGCTACAAAGTGAGTTCAAGGTCAGCCCACTTGACTTAGACTTGGAGACTTGCTGTCTCCAAGCAAGAGGTAAAAACATGGCTAGAGATATAATTCCTTGTCAGAGTGCTTGTCTGGCATGCATGATGCCCAAGGTTCTGTTTCTTGTACCACGTTTACTAATATATACATACATGCATAAGTACACGTCCCAGCACACTGTGAATCCCAGAAGATTGTAAAACAATTCTTGGTCATGCTGTTGATTTTCTATCAAACACCACATTAGTAAAAATTCAACAAATTTTCTCTTTAATGAGCTAGATTAGCATTGTTGTTCTTAATGGACAATATTGGTGAATTTCACAGCCAGCTTAGCTGCTTCCCTAACTATATGCATGAATTGGTTGGAGGATTAGTTGGGAAACCTATTTTTAAGAAGCCAGACTCTGGGCTAGAGATATGGCCTCGGCAGTTAGTTAAGAGCACTGGCTGCTCTTCCAGAGGACCTGGGTTTGTTTCCCAGTACTTACATGGCATCTCACAATGGCATCTCTGTAACTTCAGTTCCAGGGAATCCAATGCCCTATTCTGGCCTTCTCCACGCTAAGAACACATGTGGTGTACAGCGATGCATGCAGATAAACACCCTCTGCTGTGGCCACAAGCATTATACAGTGAAGTGTAGCTGGCAGATCAGTAGAGTAACTCGCAGGAGTATAATCTAATGAGAAACCAAATTTGCAGGGCTTCAGGAACATCTGTCTTTTGAGAAGCCTCTGTCACGTCTGTAAACCCTTATGAAGCCATAGTGCCCCTCTGTTTCTGTGGTGGAATTCATGCCAAAATATCCCTGCAGTGTATAAATTATTCATTGAGCATAACATCTTTCTGTACCGGCAACCGGATGACTTTTCATTTGCCCTTATAATCTTGATATATAAAATAGATACTGGGTTCCTTGGATTCTGGGAAAGGCCTCGGAGAAAGCAAATACGTCTCATTCGGACATCAACAGAAACAAAGCCATGGCTTGGCCTGGAGGTTGAAAATGGCAGGCCCTGGATCTTACACCACCGCAGTTTCCCCTTCAATCTAGCCACCTTGGCTGTTTTCTCTGGGGCTAAGAGATTCTATTCCCCTTAATCAGCTAGCATTTGACCATCCATTTTCCTTCTGAAGCTTATACTGGTTGCCATGGCTACCGGAAATGCTGTGTTCCCAGCCATCACTGGAACGGAAGTACTTAGAGAGTGCACGACACTGTAGTATTTTTCTCCCCTTCTTCTCTGCATTTCTAATGACAAACTCATTGCATAATTATTCACACTTAAGAAATGTGGTTAGTGCATAAGCCCCTCTTTTTCCTCTTCTTAGAACTCTGTACTGATTTAAAGCCCCACCCTTAATTAGGAATTGTTGATTACGTCTGTGTGGATATATAAACTGGAAACCCTGTGGGGATTGGGGAAAAATCAAGAGAGACCACCAGGAGAAAGGAGAACATTGAAAAGGCATCGGGAAGAACATAGGTAGAAAAAACGGAACATGATGAAAAGACGTATGTGAGTTGATTTGTTTACCCTCAGACCCTCTTCTAGTCCGTTTTCGCTTGTTATAGCTTTCCTTCTGAATCCTGAGAGGTTTAAGGGGGGTGGCACCCCAATGTAACCCTCGATAGCCCTCCACATATAAAATAGTAAATACATAACCGTCTAACAGGCAGCTTTCTATATGTAAATGAGATCGTGTTTCAGGTTTATGTGTTCCACACTCCGCTCTTACCTTCACACGAACTTCCTTAGCCTTTGGTGGGGCCACTTCTACTTCCTCGATGGAGAAGGGCTGGTTCATTCCCCATAGTACAGCTGCTTTGCACTTAATAACCTAAGAAGTCAAGAGTCATAACAAGTGTTAAGCATACACACAGACTCCCTGAGTCAAACGTATCACGGAAGATCACATCTAACACTCTGATTTTCAAAGACAGAAACTGAAGTCTTCCAGATCATCTTGTGTCTGATGTAATGGCCTGAAAAATGCAGGCCGGAGACATGGAATGACAGACCCTTGACACACAGCACATAAGGTCAGGGCTGAGATTCACACACTATTCTAATAAAGTAGTCTATCAGTATGATTTCAGACGCGATAAATGAGTGCACCTGTCATCTGTGTATTGCTTATTAATGAAGGCAAGTCTGTAAAATTCTGTGAGGATTTAACCAGTCTTTAATTACAGCTAACTCACTCAGCAATGGTGAAGCAATGAGACAACTCACTTTGTAAGACACTGTGTAAGAAAATGGGCCTCCAAAAGGAGTGGCACTATTAGGAGGTGTGGCCTTGTTGGAGGAAGTGTGTCCCTGTGGGAGTGGGTTTGAGTTATCCTGTGCTCAAGCTACTCTCAGTGGGGTACATAAAGAATTCAAGAAGAATTCTCAGCTCCTTCTCCAGCAACATGTCTTCCCACACATTGTCACGTCCTGCCATGAAGATAATGGACTAAACCTTTGAAGTTATAAGCCTTCCTACTCCCAATTAAATGGTTTTTTTTTATAAAAATTGTTGTGGTCATGGTGTTTCTTCACAGCAATAGAAACCCTAATTAAGACAAAAATTGGTACCAAGGACTGGGGTATTGCTGTGAAAGGTCTGCCTGACCATGCTTTTGTTTGGAGGCATGTGGACTTTTGGGATTTGGGTTAAGCACTGACTAATGGGTCATGAAAGGAGGAGCATGGAAGACAGTGATGCCGAGGGTGATTTGAACTGTAGGGGCCTGGCTCAAGAGGATTCAAAGAATTTTAGTATCTCGCCTATTGGTCATTCTTCGGAGGTTTTGGTAAAGAATGTGGCTGCTTTTTGCTTTGTCTGAAAAGTCTACCTGAGGCTAAAGTGAAAAGTTTTGTATTAGTTGTATTGACCAAGAAAATCTCAAAACAGCTTAGTGTAGACCCTGTTGTATGGTTACTAGTGCTAACTCTAGTAAAAATTTAAAATGAAAAGGAGCAAGTTGAGCAAGGAAAAATACAAAATGTACAATTTGAGGACAAAAAGAGCCCCAGGAATTAGAATGGAGCAAAGACCTGTGTTCAAGGATATAAGCAGATTAAGAAATAGAATAAAGGGTGTGGCAACTTCATGGTAAGATCCCACACAACACAGCTAAGTGTCCAATTTGTGGAAAGGCATTAAAGGAAAGCTTCGAGCTGGTGTGATGGTACATGCCTTCAATCCCAGTGCTCTGGGAATTTAAGCAAGCAGGTCTCTTAAATTCAAGATCAGCGTAGTTGACAAATTGAGTCCCAGGACAGTCAAGATTAGGCAGCAAAGGAAACCATGGAAAGCAGAAGGCTGGTAAATACATAACTGAACAAGGAGGCCATGACCTAGCTCTACCAAACAGCAGAACTTGACAACTTCAGCCACATCTTTCTGGCTTTAGAGTCAGTGATAGGAGAAAGGGGTTATAGAATCTTCCTCCAAGACTAAGAAAAGCTGTTGAGAACAGGCGTAGCTACAAATATTCTCTATTACACTGGTCCTCCTAGATAGGTTTCTCTCCATCAACCTGATCTCACTCACTAGCTCGTGTAGCCACTTATAAAATAACCACTCTAAGGCTTAATATTAATTGCATATTCTTTGGCCTATTAGCTTAGGCTTCTTATTAACTAACTCTTACATCTTAAATTTTCATGAAAAGAAGACACGTTTGCTCCTAGCAGCACCAATTTACTTCGAGAAGATGATGGGAATTGAAGAAATTCCATATGGAGATTGCTTTCATGTGGCTAAGTTAGCCACTGGGCAAGAAACTGCCCTTGCCTTGACTTCTGACAGTATGCTGTACAAACTGGACATGCAGGACACACAGGAAAGTAACTGCTGAACTTTGCCAAAACAAAATGTGAAGTCCTTCAAAGTTCCTGCTTCAAAGAAGAATCTGTGAGATTCCACAGTGTTGCAGAGGAACCTTTAGTGACTATCCAGGGGGCCAGAGGTCTCTGTCATTTCTGTAGTTTTGAAAGCAGACACTATACCTCCTTTCTACTTAGGTAATATGATATCCTTCTGGGGTCTTTGATGAAGTTGAAGACTAGATAGTTAAAGTTACAGTTTTCCTAAGTTACAATAGAAGGTATATATTGAGTACAGAACTTTAGACTCATCAGGATAGAATAGATAATAGTGATTTCTCTGAATTTGCCAAATGCAAAGGGACTGGAGATTGTAAGTGTAATTCTTACTTGATAAATGTTCTTATTGTATATAGTTTTACTAAGTTTAAGTTAAGCCCTTTCTTTTTAGTAAGACAAAATGGGGAAATATTGTGGAATGTTATTTTAACTAGGCAAAGATGTATTACATTTATTTATGCTGCATTTTTTAATGTGTGTTTAATTATGTAAACACATAAAAGGATTTGTTTCACCTTGCTTGCCTGAGGCACCTGATTGGTCTAATAAGGAGTTTAATGGCCAATAACTAGGCAGGGGAAAGGCAAGGCAGGCCTGCCAGGCAGAGAGAATAAATAGGAGGAGAAATCTAGGCGCAGGAGGTAGTTGGTGGCCCAAAAGAAAAAGTTTGACATACGACACAAGCTACTCCTCGACTTATTGGCCAACTCATGCAAGCTCCTTTAGATGACTCAATACCGTTCAGAGATTAAATGTGGGGAGCATTACACTAGAAGCAGGTGAGTGGCAGAAAGCCACCAGTATCTCAGTTAACATGTACCCTTTGACTAGCTAGGGAAAGCATTTTCAGTTACAGCGTAATCTGGCCAACATGAGACTAGAACCCTCACACCACTTAAAGGCAGTGACAGAGAACATGGAGGAACTTTTATAGTCAACAATGGCAGTAAAAACTGTCACAAAGGAAACAATAGTTCAGCAGAGGCAATCCCCCACTGTCTCATCCTGCTGTGTAACTCAGGCTTCAGGCTGGTCCCTTACTTAACAACCACCTGAGTGCTGGGAGTATGGGAATCTATGATGCTCTGGAAGTGTTGTGTACTGAGGGACAACAGAATTCTCAAGTAGAACACAGATATGCCCTAGGAGAGGATACTGAAAGTAAAATGGGAAAGGTCACCTTGTTGGATGTACAGAAAGCTTCACCAAATCAACAAATAAAGTCCAGTATTTTTTTCCTAATGAAGTTAAGACATAGACATAAGGGAAAGTCATGTAGAGATGGCAAGAAGAATACCTCCTAAACAAGGCTCCAAAAGGAACCAATGTTCTCAACATCTGTTCTCAGGATCCCAGACCCCAGATGTACGAAGAAATGAATCGCTGCCTTTAAGTGACATAGTCCCTGTTATTTGTTGTGGTATCTTTAGCAAATTAATATGATCATCTTTTTAAAAAAAATGAAGTAGCAAAAAATTAGCAGAGGAGGACTGATAGAAGGGAACCTCTGGTGTGGGAAGTGTTGCTTTTATTGGTTAATGAATAAAAAAACTGTTTTGGCCTGTGGTAGGGTAGAGTAGAGCTAGGTGGGGAAAACTAAACTGAAGGCTGGGAGAAAGAAGGCAGAGTTAGGAGAAGCCATATAACCCTGCCAGAGACAAATACCGGACAGAACCCTGCCAGTAAGCCACAGCCACGTGGCAATACACAGATTAATAGAAATGGGTTAAATTAATATATAGGAGCTAGCCAATAAGAAGCTAGAGCTAATAGGCCAAGCAGTGATTTAATTAATACAGTTTCTGTGTGGTTATTTCAGGTCTGGGCAGCCGGGAACAAACAAGCAGCCTTCCTACTACAAACCTCTTTTTCTGAGATGCGTGGAAATACCAGAACAGTTTTGTGGAGCACATAATCCCCCTGTGAACTACCCTACTGTATAACATTGCCAAATGAAAATTCTAAATCCGTTGTGCTATTTATTTTATGTGCTGTATTCTTAATTATAGTTAGGAGATGCTACCCCGAGTCTCTGAACCCTTCGTGACTGTGAGTCACATGAAGAAGGTCACAGAACTGGTTGTATGGTGTTGCCACTAATTGAAGATTCCTTTCAACTCTAAGTCCTATTTATTTCTATGAGAAAAGGTACTGACTTCTGTAGCACAAAACTAATTCTCGTGATTATCAGTTTTTTACAGGATTCCCGACTCAACTTAAGAGGTTTTTGTTCTATCTCTCTTCAATTCTGGCGGGAAAGCTTTTTCATATTCTGACATCCTATTACTGCCTCAGAGACACTTGTGTTACCCGAATTTTAAACGTCATCTTCATCTTCCTAAAATTTTCAGTTGACTAACTGCGAAGTTCTTTAAAAGTAATACAAATATAGGTGTCCCACATCTTAAGCAGTTCTGTACCCATTTAAGACAAGGGCCTATCTATCCCAGTCTTCAAGTGGGAAGAAAAACGGTCTTATTTCTTCAAATTACAGTCACTGTTCAGGGGCTGTTACCTTCTGAAAGAATAAGCATGCTTTATCTCTCGCGTAGTCCTATTTTCTAAGAATGCCTACTCTTACACTTTTAGACAAAGGATGTCCTCAGAGACTTGAAAAGTATGGTTACTTCGTTGTTGACTTCGCATTCCATAATCAGCCTTTCCCATCCTCAACAGTGGCCACATTTTATCCTGCAGCTGCACAGGAGATCCTGGACCCATTAGACTCTGGAAATGAGTTGAGTACACACTGCTGACCCTATGGAAGTCTCCTTGTGGAAACCGTTTGCTCTCTAGAGCAAGTGAATGAATGGCATGAAATTAAATCATGAATAATGCCCATATAAACCACAGTTTTCTTTTTCCCTTTGCTGCCTTCTAGAAGAACTTTCCGCATGTGATTTTCAATCAAATCCTGCTGCTTGCTATTGGCATTCTGACACAATTTCCCCATGTTTCCCCCATATATGCCCACACAACAGCCTCGCTTTTCTCAAGAAACAGCCCTGAACATTTAGTTACTCTACTGGATTCAAAGGTCACAGAAGTAGCCCCCCGCCCTTATTAGCTCAAGAGAATAAGAAAGATGAGATGTTTCCCTTACTTTTCCAGCAGTACCCATCCCGGCTCTCTTGGGTTTGGGGTCTGCAAACAGGGTTGCTTTCTGAGTGATGCTCGGTTCACTGTGCCATGAATAACAGCATCTGCTGCCTTCAATAAATAGCGTGACTTGGAAGTTCTGCCTGCCTTCAGCAACATGATTCATAACCTTGAAACTTTTCCAACCCCAAGCTCCACCCTCCTGCAAATCAAGTGATGAAAACAAATAAAATGACTGTTGGGATTAGACAAAGAGTAAGCCCCTAACAGAAACTGGATAGACCAACTCCACTGTGACGGACGAGAAAGCTCTTCTTACCTACTTTATTTTGGAGCGTATAAAAAGAGGTCAGATTAGTTCGGCTCAGTGCGGTTGATAAAGAATGAACAGAGTGCTTCTAAGTGCAAGCGATTATGTAGGGCAGCGATTTTAGGGATGCGTTTAAGCATTTGGTTTTGCACTCCATCCTGCAGACTTGATATAGCTTGTGGATAGCATGGTTAAATATAAATGAGGGCTAGAGGTATGACTCTGAGATAGAGCCCATGTCCTTTCCTGGGTTCATTCCTTAGACACAAATACACACACATACCTCACACACCACCCACCCCACACACTTCCCCCCACACAATTATAATGATATGTATGTCTGTATGAAAATATGTATATAATCAACACAAGGAAATCTTGAGAATCTGTATCTTCCCAGAATTGCTCACACACATAGGTATCCAGACTACCGGGAAATTGGAATCCTACTATACACAAAGGCCTTGCATTCCCCTACCCCCTGCCCCCAAGTCATTTGGGCAAGCATTTAGCTGTTTCCCTTTTTTTAAGCCACTGTTTTCTAGTATACAGCCACCCCAGACCCTCTTGAACCTACTTTCCCCTTTGATAGGAGGGAGTCCAAGGTATTTCCCATCTTTGGCAATGGTTAGTTGTCACACTGACCCACCACAGTCTCCAATAAACTCTCCATTTGCCAGTAAGCTAGCACTACAGTGAAATGGCAGGCTTCCATCATTAGACAAAACTCTTCAGCCCTAAAATACAGAATACAGGCTCTTACCAACCCAGAAGACATTTGGCAGTGGTTGCTGTTCAGCTACTTTTGTGTCAACGAAACCCTTTCCTCTGACAAACGGAAAACATGGCCACAAAGCTCTCAGTGCAATGCCATACATGCGGTAAGTCCCAGCTAACGCATTTCTATAAACTCAGAGGTAGTGATCATGATCAGTAGTTCTGGTGCATTGGCCCAATTAAATCCAGCAGGTAAAGCATCGCCAATGGACCAGGCTTGTGTGTAAGTGCCATTGATTCAGCAGCAAGGGTGGAGAACCCAGCCTCTGTTGTAGGCACAGTAGAAGAAAGCTAGGCAGGTATGGACAGGGACAGACATTCTGAGTCTCAGTTGTCAAAGAAAACAAAGAGCAAGCCCCAGCTCAGCCACAAAAGCTTGTTTACTTCTGAACAAAAGCAGAAGAGTACTAACAGGGGCGGTGCCTACACAAAGGCAGCAGAAAAGAAACAAGGGTGGTACCCTGCATGAAGGCAAAGATGCTCAATTGATAACCCCCTTAAGGGTTTTGCCAAGCTACGTAACGTATTCATCTGAAAAGTAAAATATTCTCAAGTTAATATACCAGGCAATGTTTCAGAGTTAAATAAGGTTTTTATGTTCCCACTCCATTTCACCCGGAATTGATTGGCTAAAAACTATCAAAAGCAGAAAGTTGCAGAGTACCCAATAAAAATGATTGCACTGGGGTGGGGGCAGGGGTGGAATCCAGGAAGTGAAGGGAAGGAACAGGGGGATGAATAGAGTCAAAATACATTGCATGCATGTGTGAAATTCTCAAATAAATAAGAACATATTAAAAATTAGACTTGAAGTGCACGGCTTGCAGTTTCCAGGGTGAGACATCAGGTTAGACACTTCCTCCATGCAGTGCAATGAACGAGACGAGTCAAATAGCAAAGGATAGAATGCATTGCAAACATAGAGAGACAGGCGAGCTCTGGCTAGCCCAAAGACTGTACCAGGAACTCAGGAACTAGCAGAACACTGCAAAGGAATGTGCAGCACATGGCTAAAACATGGCTCTCTGATGGAACAGATTCCTCATCCAAAAGAAAAGCGAAAAAAGTGACTGTTGGTCCTACCCAGGGGACAGCCCAGCAGTTGCCACAGGCCTGAATCCCGTAGGAGATTCTGTCCAGGCAATGACTCCTGCTTGCTGGGCACCTGTGCAGAGGGATTCCACTTTGCCACACCCAGTATCTTAGAGAGCAGTGGCCAGGTGCCATCTTGAGGGTTAAGCTTAAGAAGTAAGCTTAAGATGGTATCTCAGAGTCTTTGATTTGCATTTCCCTGATGGCTAATAATGTTGAGCAATTCCTTAAAATGTCCTTCGGCCATTTCAGTTTCTTCTGTTGAGAATTTTCTGTTTAGATCTGTACCCTATTTCTTTTAATTGGATTATTTGGTATTTGATGCCTAGTTTGAGTTCTTTATATATTTTGGCGATCAGCCCTCAGTCAGATGTGGGGTTGGTGAAGATCTTTTCCCATTCTGTAAGCTGCTGTTTTGTCCACTGCCTTGCAGAAGCTTCTCAATTTCAGGAAGTTACACTTATTAATTGTCAATCTCGATGTCTGTGCTACTGGGGTTATATTCAGAAAATGGTTTCCTGTGCCAATGTGTTCAAGGCTACTTCCCACTTTCTCTTCTGTCAGGTTCAGTGTGACTGCATTTATGCTGAGGTTTTTGATCCACCTGGACTTGAGTTTTGTGTAGAGCAATAGGTATGGATCTATTTGCATTCTTCTATATATAAGAGCATACAGTTATGCCAGCACCATTTGCTGAAGATGTCAGAATGACTAAGGTCAAAAACACTAATCACAGCCTATGTTGGAAAGACCATAGTGTAAGGGGAACACTCCCCCACTGATGGGGGGAATGCAAACTGCTTCAGACACTTTGGGAATCAGTATGGCAGTTTCTCAGAAAACTGGGAATCAATTTACCTCAAAACCAACTATACCAATCTTGGGCATATAGCCAAACGATGATAAATCATACCAAAACGACACTTGCTCAGCTACGTTCATAGCAGCATAGTAGTCGGAACCTGGAAACAACCTAGATGCTCCTCAACGGAAGAATGGATAAAGAATATGTGGTAGCTTTTACAAAATGGAGTTTTACTCAGTGGTAATAATGATGATGATGATGATGATGATGATGACATCATGAAATTTGCAGGCAAATGGATGGAACTAGAAAAAAAAATCATACTGAGTGAGATAACCCAAAACCCAAAAAGACAAACACAGTATGTACCCACTCATAAGTGAATAATAGCTGCAAAGTAAAGGATATTCATACTACAATCCAGAGTCCCGGAGAAGCTAGATAACAATGATAACTCAAAGAGAGACACAAGAATTTTTCTTGGAGGGAGGAAATAGATGAGATCTCCCAGGTAAACAGGGGGTGGAGTGGGATGGGGACAGGGGAGGGGAATTAGGAACATGAGGGATCCAGGTGGTTGAATTGGGGGAGGGATGGAGAGGGAGAGCAATGAACAAGATATCTTGATAGAGGGGGCCATTATGGGGATTAGGGAGAAACCTGGTGCCTGGGAAACTCCAGGAATCCACAAGGATGACCCCAGCTAAGACTCCTAGCAATAGTGGAGAGGGAGCCTAAACTGACCTTCTCCTGTGGTCAGTTTGGTGACTACCCTAATTGTCATCAGAAAGCCTTTATTCAGTAACTGACGGAAGCAGATACAGAGATTCACAGCCAAGCACTGGGCCAAGATCCGAAAATTCTGTTGAAGAGAGGGTGGAAGGATTGTATGAGCCCTCGGCATGTGGGTGACAGTTGTGTAGCTTGGTCTTTTTGTGGGGCAAAAGATCCTAGCAGTGGGATCAGGACCTGTCCCGGTCCCTGGCACTTGAGTTGACTTGTGGGAACCTGTTCCCCATGCTTGGATGCCGTGCCTAATCTTGATACAGAGAGTGGAGCTTGTTCCTGCCTCAACTTGATATGCCATGTTTTGTTGACTCCCATGGGAGGCCTCACCCTTTCAGCATGGAGGAGCAGCAGATGGGGGGCATAGGTGGGAGGAGGAAGAAGAGAAGGTGAGAAGAGGAGGCAGGGGAAGCTGTGGTTGGTATGTAAAACAAATGAAAACAAATTAATTAAAAAACAAAAAAGTTTAGAGCTGAGAATGTGCACAAGAAAAAATCTTGAATAATTAAACTAATGATTCACCTCAAGCATTAGAGAGCAAGTACAAGTCAAACTCAGAGGAAGCAGACAAATCAATGAAATAGAAACTAAAGTGACAATAGAAACAATGGATTAAATAAAACTTTGAATCTTTAAAAAAAACAAATACCAAATAGCCCTTAGCCAAACTCGCTAAATAAAAGAGAAGACCAATTTAATGAAATGAAAAGAGAGATATCATGACAAGCATCAGAGGCTCTTGAAAAAAAACTTGGGAAGCCTAAATTCAAAGAGCTGGAAAGTCTAGAAGAAATGAATAAATTCAGAGACACATCTGACCTGTACAATTTACACTGAGTAGATATGAACAATTTAAACAGATCTGTAATGAGCAAAATATTGAAATAATAACCTTCCTCCAATAAGAAAACACTTAGGACAGGAGGATTCCATGTTGAATTCCACCACCCTTGGAAAAAAGAGCTGACAGAAGTCTTTCTCAAACAATTCCATAAAATCAAAAACCACACACCAAACTCATCCTATGAAGGCTGCTATCCTGATACCGATACCAGATAAGGGTGTAATAACAACAAAAACTATATGGATCAATTTCCCTGATGGAGGCAGATGCAAAGATCTTTAATAAAATGACTGCAGACTGAATTTACGAATACATTAAAAATATCATACAGCATGAACAAGCTGGTGTCACTGAGGGATGAAAGGAAGGCTCAGCATATGCAGTTCAGTAAAAAGAACACAGTGAATAAGTAGGTTCAGAGCAGATCATTTTCATAGATGGAGTTTGGTCCCATCCCAGAGTTAATGAGGGTCTGTCGTGAAAAGGGCTTATCTTGAAGGACCTGTGTAATCCAGGCTGCTATAAGAGTAAAGATTTGGGACTCAGGGTCCTTGGTTCAGGGCCTGGCTTCTCACTTCTGTGACCTCATGTAGCGCATGTGTGAGTGGGAGAGACAGCAGCTACGATGCCCCACACGTCCTGAGGATTCGGTGTGGGGACACCCAACTCCATAGCCAGGAGCAATGTCTGTGATTAACCTGATTCTAGTCACAGCGATTATTATTCTGATTTAGTGCTCAGATTTATAAATATTTGAGATATAATTACTTCAGAGAAAATGTGCTTACATTGCTTAGCTGCGAGATCCTAGAATCCTCCACGATTTTCCAGAAGTTTGGGCACTAAGACCCCTCTGAACAGAGAATTGCTATTGAGAATCAGAATGAAAGGAGAACACTGTGATCCTCACACCAATTGATTACCCATCAGATTGTCCAGCAGCAGGAAGGTTACAGAATGCAGAACTGTCCGTGCCCTGACCAGCAGAGCCCCAGGCACATGGAAACCAGTTGGTCACCACTGTTTCCAAGCAGCCTTGCCCGGAGGATGAGGCAAGTGTTAGCATGGGGTCACTGGCTCTTTTGTAGGACACTGTTCCTTTTCTTTCCATTAACTCATCCAAGACTCTGGTCTCCATGTCCCACAGGGACAGCAGGAATAGAGAAGGGCCTTTGAAGTCAGAAGAGCTAACTAACATCCACTCCAGTGGTGGCCAGGACACACTATGTACTTAGGAAACACAAAGAGAAGCAAATACTTCATCTGGGGCTTCTTGAGAGGTATCGGTGAGACAGACGTGGAGCGGCACATGAAATGAAAATAGTCTTATTTCTAGGGTTCTGAGACGGGGAAGCCATTGCAGGAACATGGAAATGGAAACCAATGTCCTGTTGAGTCTGTCTTCATAGCAGAAAGATCTGTGGCACTGTAGTTACTGAAGGGCACAGGACTGCCTAGTCACCCAGAATCACAGTGAACACTGCCGGATTCTAATCGACCTTATCAAACACCAAACCTTGAGGGTGGGGTTTTTTTCTACACTTTGTTTCTCACATTTTCTCAGTCCGATGATGAAAACACAAGCTGTAAGCAACCAGTTGCAAGCCGAAACTCATCCTCCCCTAGCCTCTTCATCTGTGGCAGGCCCAGGCCCTGTGGGAATGAGGCACTCCAGGGGCGGGGCAGTGGAAGCATTTCATCCCTGCTCTGATGTGGGAGGCTTATCCTCTGCTAGGTGCTGGATCCCAGCTCCCAGGGCTGCTGTGGAGATCATGCTCGGCAGGTCCAACATCTTCGCTTTTACATGCACGCCCCACTGAAGAAAAGAATTTCAATGAGGATTTTTCTTTCAAAGCAAGAAAGGGGTGTCTCATCTGCTTTGAGTAAATGCCCCATTTACCAACTGACTGTTGTTTGATGAGAACTGCAATCTGAGAAGATCAAGAATTGAGGATAAAAATAAATCAAAGTTGTTTTTTGTTCTTTAAATATACATGCACACATACATGGGGGTGGGCATAGGTGGTGGTAAATGTTTCTATGTGTTTTGCTAAAGCATGTTAAACAGCTTCTAGTTACCTAGATCTACCCGTTATTTCAGAGACTGAGCCTAGAAGCTCCTCCTTGCAGAGAAAAACGGGGGTCAATTAATACACCTGAAAAACAAAGAAAGCAGCCCACTAAGAACCCAATGGCAGGAGATACAGCCCAGGAAAAAGGACATTGGTAGTCCTGGGGAAGGCAAGTTCATGATGTGTTCTCTTTTTACACCTGTTTCTAATGCTCCCTTGGGGCTCATCTCAATAAAATTCTGAGTAGGAGCCCAGTGTGTTGACAGAGCATCTGTAGAAGTCTTCACTGTAGAGGTTCAGTTTCTATGCAGAGCCCCTTCCTGCAGTACCTAGGGCCACAATTATATGGCGGATGGTGAACAGGGGTGGCAGCAGTCTACACCCCTCATTAAAGCGCCCACTTCTGTTTTAACCTGTTTTACGTAGACGAGTCTTTGCTTTAGAAGAGGTTCCTTTGACTTCTAGAAGAAAAGGGAAGTACTTCATTTGCTTTCTGAATCATGGACACAGAAAGGTGTGTGAACCTTTGAGATGGGCTTTCTCTTGAAATAGAGAAGAAATTTTCAACCCTCAACTCAAGATAATTTTTAAGTAATTGTCATTCTTGCAAGTAACAGCTCAAAGCAAAGTCCTGCACTTTGGGGTGTCAGGGTGTTCTGTGTTACTGTGGGTTGGTTGAAGAAAGAGGTCACTCCAAGATGAAATTTTAAGGCTTGTGTGGTAGCAGAAAGGTCCAGCCTCTGACAAATTGAACCCCGAACAATTGTACAAAGGCAAATTTATTGATTGTTTTGCAAAGTTGTTTTGCGGGTAAAGTATTTCCTCACCAAGGTCCCAAATCTAATCTATGTGTCTCTCTACAGGAAAGCTTCATGTGCCAACATGACTTTAGCCCTTTATTGTGTATTGTTTGCTATACACAATAATCCAAGAGCCTTGTGTAAGTCCCCATCTCTGGCCTCCATCTTTGGAGGCCCCACCCCTGTGCCTGCCAAACCTTGACCACTCACCCAGTCTATTTAAACTGCTCCCCTGAGAGTGCCTTCGTGGGCACCCCCTCACGGTCGCATCTGCAGCTTCCCAGTTCCCTTCAGGGCCACCCAAGAGCACAGCAATCCCTTTAAACCTGGATATTCTTTAATTTGACCTGTTGTGCTTTGGCTTGATTAGGATTTTTGCGTCGGCAGAGGGCTCACGTTAGGAATATTCCTAACAACTTAGAGGCTTCTTGTGACCAAAGTCATGCGAAGGCTGCAACGCCCTTTCAGAAAAACAATTGTACAGTCATGGAAAACAATGACTGTTTCCCACAAGGATTCTTTACCGTTTTCCGCAATTCTTCACAATGTACTTACAGAAAACAACTTCTGCCCAACGTACAGCGACTCTGCTAAACTCCTTCAACACTGGGGGAGGGAGGATTGATGTCACTATTATCCACACATGAATTGATTACTGGAAATGATGAAGGGAGCAAGGACGGCTCTCATGTAGACTCACGCCTACAGAGGTCATTGTGACTTTCACCAGCGCTGCCATATCTGGCTGTTTGGGGATGCCCCTGAAGCCTGAAATATCCCAGAAGATAAAGCAGAAGGTCCCTGAGGGTCCAACTCCTTAAAAATAATCATATCTAATATATGCTGACATATGAGATCGTTTACAAGGACCGTGAATATGGAGACAGAGAGGAAGAGAAGCACAGATTTCCCCATACTTTATAAAATGCGCAAACCCCACAACACTATCGAACCGTTTGTTTTATCTCATCCAAGCTCCGTTGCTCTCTGGACCTTCTAAGAGCAGGAACTCTGCTGTCATCATGAGTCAGCTCTTTCTGCTCTTGCTGGTCTACCCAGCGGCTTCATGTGTTTTGCCCGGCTTCGTGATTTCTCATGGAATCAATTGGAAAATTTTCCCATAATTCGCCTTTAACTGAAAGAAGGTTATATGAGAGCTGGTTTTGTGTGTTCTAACTGCTGTCCTGGCCTTTCTAGCGTGCACCCCCAGAGCAACCACGGTGGCAAGCAATACTACTCCAGTCTGAGAGTGTTGTAACCACCGACTAAGGTTCATGCGAGCTCTCTGCCAAAAAGCTGGGAGATCGAAATGAAGAGAAGAGAAATGAATTTGCTGGAGACTGGCTCGGAGAAAAAATAGAAAAGACTTGTTTGTATTCCAACATCCCTCTTTGAAGGGGTTAGATGGGCTAAGGGCCTTTGTAGGACAGCTCAGGTTATGACGAAAGGGTGGGAAGAGAACTCCACTGTGGGGAGGGGGCTCTTTCTCTTCAGGGCACATGCATGTACACACACATGTGTCTTCCATGATCACTCTCCAGCTACGTGTTGAGATGAGGCCACTTGTCAAACCCCATGGAGCTCATGTTTGGGCTACCTGTGAGCTGGCTCCAGGGCTCTCCCGTCTCTACCTTCCGCACTCTGGGCGCCACCCTGCCCTCTAAGTGTTGATGCGGGTGCTGATAATACAAACTCCCGTATTCAGGTCAAGTTTGCAAGGCAAATGATTTACTGCCTAAACTATCTCCTCCAGGCCCTGATGGGTGGAGATGGCCTGATCCACCTTAACCTTCAATAAAATCCTAAGTAAAGACTCAGCGTAACCACATCTTTCCAGTCTATCTTCAATTCGCTCAGCAAGCTATACTATCCATTTGCTGAAATTTTATTTTACCAAAGAGCTCGTACCCCTTTTACTGATGTCAACTTTGTGTTTAGGAAAGTCCTCTGACTTAAGTAGTCACCTTACCAAAGGATGGAGGTGACCTCCAAGCTTGCTGTGAATGGCACACCGTTTTCACTGAGAGCGGGACCTGCTGTTACCTAACGAGAGAGAGCTGGAGGCAAGTTGGGACCTGAAGTCCTAGTTGAGGACAAGTTCGCGGTCTGTTCTGGATTATTTCAAAATAGAAAACCTTCAAGTTCAGGCATAAACACGGTTTAACTATGCCCAAGTGGTGTTAAATCTGTTCTTATCATTAGAAGTGTGCCTGGTATGGTGCTGCTCACCTACCTCCTAGAGAGGCAAAGGCAGAAGGGCCTGAAGTTTGAGGCTAGCCTGTTTTATCATGATTCTGGGCTAGCAAGGGCTACACACAGAATGAATGGAAGAATGCATGAGCGAGACAAAAGCAAGCCACTGTACAATCTGATGAGGTTAGGTTTGGTGGTGGTGGCTTCATTTTCACAGTTGAGACCTAGTCTTGGAAATACTAATTTTGGCATTCATCTGTGGTGATTTTGGAGACATTTCAATACTTTCTGGGAAAATGGCATAGGAGATTTTATATCAGGGAAATTCTTGAAAGCCAGAGTTAGGCCCAAATTTCTGCAGTGTGTGAAGAGGAGAGATGACTTTCTTACATCTGAAGTGATGTGTTTGGAAATAACCTCAGTCAAGCGGAAAATTTTTCCTTATGACTTTGTGAATTTTTCTTCGACCAATTGTATGTAACACTTCCTGGCTCATTAAACCTTTATCTAATTTAATCTGAAACCCCGACAAGTCAAGTAATATTATCTATTTTGAAGATGGAGACTGAAACCCAACTTCATACATAATCTTGAAAAGCAATGATGAGCTACCTCAAGGACCTGGGACATGAGTGGATTGTTGAAATGTTTAAAAAAATATCTAAGCAAAATGGGGGGATAAAAAAAATAAAATAAAATGGAAAGACCAGGGGAAGGAGCTGTGGACAGAGAAGTGTTCTGAACCCTAAGAGGAATTCCATCTATCAGTGAACAAAGCCCCTGGTGAAAAGCCTGGAGACCCCACATACAAGGATCATAAGTGTAAAGCCGGTGTCATCCTGCTCACCCGTGTGCATTCTCTCACAGTTGCTCAGTGAAGACTCCTGCACAACTAGGCACAGAGAGGCTGACGGGTTACAAGGCATGTCTTTCTCCACAGTTGTTCCTCCTCCTCCTCCTGTGAGCTGCTGTGCCTTCAAAGGGCCAACCATCCTCTTGCCCTCATTTCCGCCATCATCTGGGACCCTGCTGAGTCAAACCAAAAGGTGCTGCAAAAGGAATCTAGGTTCACATGAAATCAAACCAGGGTTTGCATTTCGGATTCACCGGATGTGAGACCAGGAAAATGATTTCTTGCTCTCTACATTGATTTTTTTCATCTGCAAATGGAGAAGATTCCTCTTATACCAGAGAATACTCAGTAGCGCTACAGAGTGCAGTCTCGGGACTGTCCCACTTTTAAACATACTATAATTTTTGATGTAGTACCCAATTTCTGCGAGCCTCGTTTTCTTCATCTATGAAAAGAAAGTAATAGCACATCATTCATAGCATTGTGAGAAGAACTGAAGAGACAGAACCTAGGGGCCACTTGGCAGAGGTGGCGACTGATCAACAGGTGTTAGCTTTATTACGGCTGGTGACTCAGGAAACTTCTCAGCAGGTGGCGGCTACCGTTACTGAGCATCACCTGGTGCCCTGAATGATTTCCATTCACGTGACTGTTTTGAACTGTTCACTTTAAATGTGTTTACAAGTGACGCAAAGTTAACTTGTCCTTCTCTTCTCTCTAGAGAGACAAAGCTGCAGCATTCAGAAGTAAAGGCTGAGAGTATGGGCTAAATTAAACAAACAAACAAAATCCAAAACAAAACAAAGAAAAACCAAAGGTTGAATGCTATCTCATAGCTGTCTCCTGGTTTAGTTTGGTTTGGTTTTGAGAACTTGCTAGAAAGAAAGGGGGGTGTACTGAGTAGAATAAAGTCAACCTTCAAGTTCATATCCAGCTGATTGCCAGACTGTGATACTGCTAGAAAATATTTTGTATGTACAATTTAAGACATTATGTAAGACATTAAGGTAGAGTCGCGTTTGATCAAGGTTGGACCTAAATTCAACAATCGGTGTCTTTGTAAGCATGCTGCATGAGAACATGCAGGTGCAGCGGCAGACTAGGTGCTGAACCCACGTGACTCAGTGAAGGAGAAAGTCAGAACAGGACAAAGGAGAATCTGCCCTGAAGAGAGAAAGAGGGAGAACCTCAAAAATCCACAAGGGTATTTCTGGGGTACTTCACGAAGGCAGAGGTGAGAGGGCAATGCTTGAACAAGAACTAAGCCAAGCATCGTGGACCCTTAGTGCAGAAGACACACTAATGTGTCCATGTGAGGGTACCAAAGAGTCCAAATAAAACCCTCAGGATTTACTTTCCAGGAGACAGCATGCGAGCAGGTGTCTGGCATCCTATAATGTCAGGAGTGGGTGGCCAAGGCCATACATAGGTGCTGTGAAGTACAGTCACGCTGAATCATTAGAGACTTGTCTGTCCGAGTTCTTCAAGAGGTATCCATGACAGATTTAGGGACTGGACACCCCAGGCAACACTCACAAAGCCTTTTAAACATGTGGCCAAACGCTGTTTATCACATTATATATAGTCTAAAGACAACCGGTTTAAGTGGCCGTCTTAAGTGAGAGTGTATCAGCCCGTGTTAAGTCTAACGCCTTGTTTGTTTGAAGACAGGATCTCTAACCTTGTATTTTCAATCTTCCAGCCTCTCCATCCCAAGCCTTGGCACTAAAGATGCTCTCTGCTGCACCAGCCTTGAATTCTTATGGTTTAACCGGGGAATAGCCTACAGTGCAAACTATTCCTTTGTTCATTTTTTATGACATCTTTCGTTTGTTTAAATTTGCCTAGGATGCCCTATCAAGACCTCAAGTTAGCATTTCCTGAGAAAATTTTCTTACCAAATTCAAACAGCTGTATTCAACAGACAGCAAATCAAACATGCAGTGGGAAGTGGGAAGCCACTCTGGCAGGGGTTTACCTTCCTCAGCAGCTGGCGGGAAAGTGGGAAGCAACTCTAGTGTGGGTTTACCTCCCCCGGAAGCTGGCAGAAAAGTGTGAAGCCTCTCTGGCAGGGGTTTACTTCCTTGGGCAGCTAGTGGGAAAGTGTGAAACCACTCTGGCGTGGGTTTACCTCCCCCTGCAGCTGGCAGGAGGCAAAGGACAGAGAAGCCACTCACTGGCTCATTGTAGGAATCGCCTCATTAACATTTTCAGACCGTGGTTAGGCATGGGGAAATGGAAACCCAGAGATAAAGGCAGGGGTGAGAGGGAGCTGCTAACTCCATACGCTTATATGAACCATGTGATGCTTTCAGTCAGGTTAAGCCTGAGAAGTTAGTCCTGGATTAGTTCTGGAAAGTTAGTCCTAGGTTAGGCCTGGGAAGTTAGTATTGGGTTAGTCCTAGAAAGTTAGTCCTAGGTTAGGCCTGGGAAGTTAGTATTGGGTTAGTCCTGGAAAGTTAGTCCTAGGTTAGGCCTGGGAAGTTAGTATTGGGTTAGTCCTGGGAAGTTAGTACTGGGTTAGTCCTGGGTGAGTCCTGGGAAGTTAGTCCTAGGTTAGGCCTGGGAAGTTATTCTGGCTGAGTACCAGGTTAGTCCTGGGAAGTTAGCACTGGGTTAGGCCAGAGATGAGCGTCCTGGGAAGTTAATCCTAGGTTAGGCCTGGGAAGTTAGTACTGGGAAGTTAGCACTGGGTTAGGCCAGAAATGAGCGTCCTGGGAAGTTAGTCCTAGGTTAGGCCTGGGAAGTTATTCTGGCTGAGTACCAGGTTAGTTCTGGGAAGTTAGCACTGGGTTAGGTCAGAGATGAGCGTCCTGGGAAGTTAGTCCTAGGTTAGGCCTGGGAAGTTAGTACTGGGTTAGTCCTGGGAAGTTAGTCCTAGGTTAGGCCTGGGAAGTTAGTCCTAGGTTAGGCCTGGGAAGTTATTCTGGCTGAGTACCAGGTTAGTCCTGGGAAGTTAGTACTGGGTTAGGCCAGGGATGAGCGTCCTGGGAAGTTAGTCTTAAGAAGTCTGGCACACGGTTTAACAGGTGTGAGTTGGATTCTGGCTGACCATAGCAAGTGAGTGATTTCTCTCTAAGCTTCTGTGAAAGAGATTCCCTGAGGGACCCAGTGAGGAAAAGATGAAGTTGCGAAAGGTGCTCAGGAGGACACTATGCTGGCACAGAGTGACATCTGGTACATCAGCCTATAATCCCTAAGTACACAGTTCAGACCGGCTTCAGTAAGTCCTTTACAACAGGCAGAAAGCTGTTTTCCTGCCAGGAACAGGATATTTGAAATGAGAATGGCTATTTTAATCCCATGAGGCAGAGCTTGCAGAGGCTGGTGACTTGAGCCTCGGCCTAACCTAGGATGAACTTTCCAGTACTAACTTCCCAGGCCTAACCTATCCAACGGTCCATCTATCTATCTATCTATCTATCTATCTATCTATCTATCCATCCACTCATTCAGTAAACATGGAACTATCACAGAGAGGGAATTCCACCCATATATCTGTAGAATATCCTATTTAAAAAAAAAAAAAAGTCCCTAAGTGACCCCTTGTTATACCCAGGTCTGAGTCTGAGAATCACCCTTCCCAGCGTTCTCATTCAGGAGTAATCACGTGATTCAGTGGTCCGCTCAGATTTCTCTAGCACTTCTGGGTCTGTAAGGCGTTTTCGTGGGACTAATTGTTCACTCTGCTGATCCTGAACCGCTGCAAGTGAAGATTTGCAGCTCAATCTCAATGAAGAGGGAGCCAGAGAGCGCGGAGGAACATTCCAAGAAAAGGCCATCCATACTAAAACGTCTGCGCACGAGTGTCCACCATCAACTCTGGTGACCCAGCGGCTTAATGCAAGGCCTGTACATAACCCCTCGTTGACACCTTCGTCTCTGAGAGGTGCGTTATTTATGGAACTGAATGGCCACAGCAAGATCCGCCTCGAAAAGTACCCTTTTCTCTGCCCTAGTTTTAGACAGTGGTGTCTGTCATACTACAGCCCTTGGCGCCATCTAGCGGTACATTTGACAGTTACAGCCACGAAGCTAAGATGGGCAACAGCTTTGAAAGCCGCTCTTGTTTTTAATAAGCAGGGAATGGCAGGGCCCCTTTCCTTCCTTTTCTCTGGTCACACATCTCCTCCCTGCGCGCGTGTGCACTTCTGTGTGTGCACAGGTGGAGGGAGGGGGAGCACGTGCACACGGAGGGGTGCTCACATGCCCTGAGGCCAGAGGTCAGTGTTGGCTATCTTCCTCAGTCGCTCTCCACTTTTTAAGTCAATTATAAAGGTTGCTAGACACAGAAAAGAAATGAAATGAAAAGATCCTTCTAAGTCAGTCCTTCCTAAATTCCCTGCAAAACTGGGGACAGGGAAGAATCACTCTACTTTTGATCTACGCCATTTTCGTCCATAAATGACTACGCATGAGTGGAGATGTTGGAGCTGAGGTGGCGTTTGCGGGCTTTCAACTATATCCGGAGTGTCATGTTGGATTTAGAAGTGACCGCACCAATTTACAGTTCTAGTAATAGTAGATGAGAGTCCCGGGGTCTACATACACTCCTGAATTCTGGGTGTTCTCAGCCGGTTTCAGGCTGCCCGTTGCTAGTCACCGATGAAGACCTGTGTGTTACGCGTCTCCGTGACTTTGCTTCTGTAAGACCCTTATTCACAACTTTTATCTGTTTTCCTGTTGTAATGGGGTGCCAGACCTTAGTGGGCCCCAGACCTTAGCACAGCTGACTCCATGATGAAAGCGGGGCTCAGGCTGGAAAACTCAGCCCATAGGAGGCACCATTTGCCAGAACTAAAACAAAGACCTAACCCATCAAAGCCCACAGTTCCGGGGAAAGTCTCTAAACGTACTAACCTTGCTTTCTGGCTTCTGTAGTGCCGCTTCTGGCTAACTGTTCTTGTTAACTAAAGCATGTCAACTCAGTTTGTTTTTGTTTTGTTGTGATGGTTTGGTTTGGGTTTTGTCCTTAAAAGCTCACCCCGAGAAAGGCTCTGGGCAACACTGGACTCCCAGCACCCAGTGGAACTGCCGGCTTACTAGCAAAGAGCTTCTCTTGGCTTAAACCTGTGCTCAATCAGTCTTCTCTGGAGAATGGCCCACGACTGAGTTGTTTATGTGGCATGCATAAACGTACTTCTGCATCATTTTTCTGTTGCTGTAAAAAAATATATAAGAGACCAACTAACTGGAAAAGAGGTGTATTCCGCTCACAGTTCTGGAGGCTGACTTGTAACAGTCTGTTGCCAACTCTATGAAGACCTCCTCATGGCGGATGTCATAAAAAGGATGGTGGGCAGGTGGGAGGGTGAAGCTGGTGGGAGGGGTGAGAGGGAGCAAGCAAACTGCCAGTTAGTAAACGGCAAAGGGAGGGAAGCCCAGCTCCTGAAGAACACAGGACATCAGACAGAGCTGTGCTTCTTGCCTTTAATTGCTCACCACTGATAAACCTATTAGCATTCTGGGAATTCTACCTGTTTGCGCTGTCTGGTTTTTGAGATAGGTAATCCAGGCAGGCTTTGAACTCACAGCAATCCCTGTGAGACTCCCAAATTCTGGGACTAGAGGCATGGGTTACCATGCCCAGTTTCTCCATCTGATTTTCTCTCCTTAATTATTTTAAATTATGCACTCAAAGCAATAAATTTCACTATAGGGTTTTTATACAAACCTCGTTTTTGTGTGTGTTTTCCACTGTCCCCTTCCCACCATCTCCTCCTCCCATTTCTGATCCCTTTCCTTCCTCAGCTAGTTCTCCTCCTCCTCATTTCCTCTTCTTTTCCTCCCCATCCCTTAAGACATCCTCTTCCCTCGGAATATCACCAGGATTCTTTCCCAGCCTCCCTGCTGCTGTGTCATAGAGCGTATGTCCGCTAAACAGAACCGTGAGAAGCTCTGAGCAGTGTTGCTGCCATTCCTTTCCCCCTTCTCTTGCTCTTTTCTTAGGTCCACAGCACCTCTACCAGACGTCTAAATCCGGAAGAGACGTTCTGGGCTATGCTAATGAAGCTGTGGTAACTAGAGGCCCAAGAGCAAGGGTGCAAGGTTCTGGAACTCCAATTTTCTCAGAATGTTATTCGGTTGCTAAGCTGTGTGTTATCACATAACAACCAGGCAGGTTGCCTGGCGCTTTGGAGTGAGAGTAGGAGAAACTTGGGGGGCACAGCTGGGCTTTTTTGAAGGTATTAGTTCGCTGTTTCCACCAGCAAAATCTCCTTAGCTTAAGTCCTGAGATTTAAGTAAGTAACAAATATTCAGTCTAGTCCTGATATGAGGTTGGAGGGGCATCAACAGACCTGATTTACCTGCTTTGAAAACTGTCCTCAGGTATAATTTTTTATTCATCATTAGAATAATTTGCTAACATTTTAAGTACGCTTTACTTAAAACCTTCAAATATAGTTTTTAAGGCATATAAAAACTAAGTAAGTCATTTTGAGGAAAAGGATGTCATCTTTTAAAGTTAGTCACTTATCTTTAAGGAGCTTGTACTAATAGCACTGCCCTGGTCATAGACTAGAGACATTTATTCTGTGGGAAAATGAACGGCAGTTACTGAGTTCATACCATGTAGCAAGTGTGTGCACACAGTGGGAAAACAAAGATGAGAAATCAGGTTCGATCAAGGCATGTCTGATGACATGCCTTATGTTCTTATGTTTACAAATTATCTCATTTCAGTAGAAATTATTTAAAAGGAGGTTAAGTTCCAGAACATTCTCTGTGGCTGATGCTAACTTGATTGAACTTAGGACCCACAGGTGCCACTTTAACAAGCCTCACTGAGGTTCAGTTGGCAGCTTTATACTTATTTTGCTTTCCCATGATTTGAGATGTGTGCTCCTGTGGTGGGACCACATCTTCCATGTGACCATCTGGCATTTAAATCATGGTGGGGGTGCTGGAGAGATGGCTCAGTGGTTAAGAGCACTGGCTGCTCTTCCAGAGGTCCTGAGTTCAATTCCCAGCAACCACATGGTGGCTCACAACCATCTATAATGGGGTCTGGTGCCCTCTTCTGGCATTTGGGCATACATGGAGGCAGAATGTTGTATAATAAATAAATAAATAAACAAACAATCAAATAAATAAATCTTTAAAAAATAAAAATAAATCATAGTGGGGAAAACAGACATTCTATTTAAAGGAGCAGGGAGGAGGGGATATTACAACAAAAAATAGGGAGGGGGAGGGGCTCTGAAAATTATTTCAAGAGCAAAAGAGAAAGTGACAGAAGGTGGGGTGACCATGAAAACCACTAAAAGAGAGGAGTTAGGACACCTTTAGGAGAAAGTGCGTACCCAGAGAAATTAATCCAGCAAGGAAAGGCGCCATGGGGCAGCCATGGTGTGTGTTCTGGGATAGGGGAGTGGGAGTGTGGTGTTCCTGCCCGAGTAACAGCTGCACAAGGTGGCTTGATTCTGGCCAGAAAAAAAATGGGAATAGAAATGTTTCTTTGCCATGCCTGTTCTGAGGTTTACTCAGAGCACAGAAAATATACTATAGCTATGAAAAATGTTTTTATTATATTTCAAGAGCAGCATGTCATTTAAAGTTGCATTGGTGTGTTGATTTATTTATTTATTTTATGGGTGTGGGTGTTTTCCTTGGGTTTATTTCTGTGTGCCATGTGCATGCAGTGCCTGAAGGGTCCAGAAGGGGGCATCAGAACTCCAGGGACTGGAGTTATAGGTGCTTTTGAGCCACCATGTAAGTGCTGGGAATCAAATCCTGGTCCTCTGAAAAAGGTGCTGGTGCTTTTAACCTCTGAGCCCTCTCTCCAGCTCCAAGAACAGTATGTCATTTTCAGAAGGTTTAAATAATTCTTTAATATATTCTGGATCCAGATTTTCCCCCTTATCTGGTTGTGAGTTAATCAAGAACCATAACATTTTAAAGCGCTAGACCTGTGGTATGGAATTGGTGTTAATTAATGATCAAAAGAACATTTAATATAGTGGGTGTTGCAAACAATTTAGTAAATGTCATATAACTTGCTAGCTGGATATATAGTGTCATTCCTTCATCTTTACTTTCTTAGGTGGCATTATCTGTTTGGAGGATGGTATAAATTTGAAAATTTAGGTTTTTTAAAAGTACAATATGAAAGTTCCTTATATAAAGCTAACTTAATGTAAAGCACTTTTGTAGATATAGTATTTTAAAAGCCTAATTTAAATTTCCTTCATTAAAAGAAACAACAACCATGTAAATATTTGCTCATAAAACAACAATGATCTTAAATACAATTAAAAAGTAAAATATAGGTCATTTTCACAAGTACTTTGATTTTTTTTTCCTTATGTTCTATTCAGGCCTGGAAAGTTTATAAAAGTTTGATTTTGTCAGCAGAACAGACCCCCCCCCATTGTTCCTCTTCATTTGTTTGTTGTTTTAATACAAAAATGGGAACATATTTGATAGACAAGTGAATGTCTAGGATGTCTTCTCGGGGTGATTATCGGTCTGTGATTTCAAGGTTTTGGCCCATCCATGAGTGAAGTCAATCAAGAACGCTGCTGCACCTGTGGAGAGGGAAACCAACAGGTCATGAACCCGGTCCTCAAATCCCCAGCGTCTTCTCAGCACTCGGAGGGCAAGGGCAGCCACGTGACGGCGAGAAATGAAAAATGCTTCCTAGTCAGGCACACGCCTCATCCCAGACGAGTTTGCCACATCAAAGGTGATGGGACTTCAGCTACTCAAATATTTTTAGCCCCTATACACAACCTGTAATATTTACTCAAAGTATTTGGTCACTGGTAAGAGCAAGGGCTAAGATACAAGAAGTCAGGTCCTAGTGCCTATAGACATTTGTGGGTACCTTCTCTGCCAGACATTAGCCCATAGATTGCTTGTGTTGGGACGGGGGTACTGAGAGCCTAGGAAGTCATTTGGGGAGCTTAAGGTGTGTTGTAAGGTGGGCCGCTTGGTCCTTCCAGCCACTCGGCAGCTCAGACCCAAAATAACCACACAGAAACTATATTAATTAAATCACTGCTTGGCCCATTATCTCTAGCTTCTTATTGGCTAACTCTTACCTAACTCTTGGATGGTTGGAATCTGAATTCTTTCCTTTTATTTCTGTCTGGTACAAGATTACCAGGTGTGCACATTTGTGTGTGAATATGGAAAAGTGCAAAGCAATAATAAGAAGGAAACAGGGTAGGAAGGAGATGTCTGCTCCCCTGTGTGACGGAGGAAGGTCATTGGTTAATTAAATAAAGAAACTGCTTGCCCTGATAGGTTAGAACATAGGTGGGTGGAGTAAACAGAAGAGAATGCTGGGAGGAAGAGGAAGTGAGCTCAGAGACGCCATGCTCCCCTCTCCGGGTCAGACTCGATTGCTCTGCTCTCTGAGGCACACGCGATGAACCTCCGACCCAGGATGGACATAGGCTAGAATCTTCCTGGTAAGCGCACCTTGGGGTGCTACACACTTTATTAGAAATGGGCTAGTCCAGGTGCGAGAGTTAGCCGAGAAGAGGCTAGATATAATGGGCCAAGCAGTGTTAAAAAAAAAATACAATGTCCGTGTAATTATTTTGAGGCATAAGCTAGCAGGCAGCCGGGGTGCTGGGGACGCAGCCCCACCGCTCCTTATTACAACACCTGTGAAGTCCTCCGACATACACAACACATGAACCATGCTTTCTTTTGAAAATCCTAATTAAAAGAGAAACTAGGAGTTTCAATACATATATTTGTGTGAGTTTGCCTATATTTAATTTGCTGTGTAATTCCTTACTGTGTACCTGAGCCAATCACCATTCTAGTATTTAAGACACAATGATAACATCTGATAGTGTCTTAAAGAATTCTCACTTCTATCTAGGAAGTTATTGTTAGTAAAGTGTGAAGTGTTTAAACAAATAAAAGCCTTATGTTTGGTTGTGTTATCCAGCCATTCGTTCAACCAGCAAAGCTCACCAGCTTTCCGCCAGGCACTGGAGTAGGTACTAGCAAGAGGCAGTAAACAAAGGGGCAAGACGCCCATCTACGAGGCTCACATTCTAGTGCAGCTCTGCCAAGTAGCTGCACACAGATTTAATAAGGCTAGTTCTAAGTGCTTTAGGAGTGAACCATGGGGTGTGGTCCAGACAGGCTTGTCGGCAAACGAATAAATGGTTATCCTTATTCCTCCAGGTTTGAACAACATCCCAATCTGCACTGTGAATGATGATGAAATCCCACTTAGAATGCTGTGGAACCCTGGCCAGGTTAGCCACTTAGAGAGGAACGAGATGCCTTTAGCCAAATCTGGTAACCCTCCCAGCACTGCAATCCTGGAGAGTCCCACAGGAGGACTGGCACCAGTCCGAAACAAAGGTCTTATAAGACCTCAGTCTGGTGAGTCCCTATAAAGAAATGGAATATGTTCTTAGGCTTCTTGCAAATAATTGGGAAAAAAAAAACTCCAATTGCTTAGATAGCTGCAGTGACTGATAAGATAGGTTATTTACTATAGACAATTTACGTTCCGTTAACCACAATTCAGTAAGGACATGACTAGCAAGTACTATTATTATTAGAAAGGTATGTGTGATAACTGATTTCAAATGTCAACTCCTGACTGGATTTAAAACAGCATGGAGACACCTGGAGGTCTGTTGAGGAGAATGTGGGTGGGCAGGGAGTGTGGGTGGTGTCACCTCTCATGCTAGAGGTCCCAGACTGAACAAAAAGAGGGAAAGAAGAAGGAAGCCAGCTGAGCACAGGCAGCCATCCTCTCTGCCTCCTGATTTCCACTCGCCCTCCAGTGCCAAGCCTTCCCTACAAAGAAGGACTGTAGACCCTCAAACCATGAGCCAAAATGAGTCTGTCCCCCTCTAATACACTTCTGTTGGATTTGTGGTGATAAAAATTACTAACAAACTTGCTAAGAGATATCAGCCGTGAGTGGCTAGCCAACACTGGTAGGAAACAGACCAAAGGGGGGTCCAGGAAACACAATGGGGATGGGAATGTGTGTTCATTTTCCCACAGGACTGTCAACCTCCATAAGTTTATGCCCTGATGGCATTGGCTTCTGTGCTCATGACCCTCTCATTTTTCCCTCCAGTCCACACTGCATGCAATGTCTAGTCTTTAGTAGTTGATTAAATAAATAGGTGCTTACTGTCTTCCAAGATCCCACTGGATTGGCCCATCAAACTGTCTCCAGCATGCAATGGCTTTTCTAGATCAATACATCAAAAGCTTCCACATTCTTCCAACAAAACTCTGTTTAAGCTTTTGTTTTCATATTTGTTTTATATGTATGAATGTTTGGCCTGTATGCATGTTGTGGGTACCATATGTGTGCCTGGTGCCACAAGGGGTTAAAAGAGGACATCGAATCCTCTGGAACTGGAATTACAGATGGTTGTAAACCACCAAGTGCCCTCTGGAACTGAGCCCAGGTCCTCTGCAGGGACATCTAGGTCTCTTACTCTAGCTGTCATCTCTCCAGACCCCAGGGCTTTATGAAAGTAATGACCTCACTCCCTTGGTCCCAATTCCTGTCCTGGTTTCATTTTATTGCTATGATGAAATACTCTGATCAAAAGCAGCTTAGGGAAGAAAGGGTTTGTTTTAGGTCACAATTCTTGGTTACAGTCCATCACTGCGGGGAAATCAAGGCAGCAAGGGCTTGAGACAGCTGGTCACATGATATCCACAGTCAAGAGCAAACAGAATGCATAGCTAGTACTCAGCTAGCCGGTTTTTTTTACTGTGAGAGAGTTCAGTGACCCAGCCAGGGAGGGGTTCTTCCCACTTTCAGGCTGGGTCTTCCCACACCAACCAAGTTAGTCTCCTTCACAGACCCGTCCACAGGTCAACGTGATTTAGACAATTTGTCATTAAAGAGCCTCTTTCTGGGGGACCCTTGGCTAAGTCAGGCTGTCACTGATTTCCAGATCACAAGACTAATGTTTGCACCCCAGTTCCCCCCTTGCTCAGTTCCCTATACCACTCTTTATTCTTTCTTAGTTTCTCTTCCCAGCAAGGGAACACTAACTGGATGTGGTCACCAGTCATGACACTGGGTTCATTACCTGAACATGGTCACCAGCCATAATGCTGTGTTCATTATCCGAAGGTAACAATCCTTCAGACGGAACTGGTGAATTTAGCTACTACAGGGATTGTGTGCTGAAGAAACGGTGCACAGCCACGGCTTTGGTAGAGGAGCAAGGCTTCAAGAGGACACACACACTAAGTAGAGAGGACGCCGAGAGAAGCTGTGGTTGATGTCAAGCTGAAGCATGATTAATAAAAACTCAGAGACAGATCCTGGGGTTCAGCCTGAAGACCAGGAAAGCCAAGCAGCCTGCCACTGACTCTTACCTCGACTTCAGTCTGAAAATGGTGATCCTGCCTCCAGGAATCTCAAAATGAGACTGAGACTGAGAGCTGTCTCCTCCTGTTTTATAATCCTCTCTAGGGCTGAGATTAAAGGCATGCACCATTAGGATTAAAGGCATGCACAGCCCAGTTTCCATGGCAACGAGTGTGGCTACTGGGATTAAAGGTGTGTGTTACCACTGCCTGGTCTGTAAGGCTGACCAGTGAGGCTGTTTTACTCTCTGATTTTCGGGCGAGCTTTACTTATTAAAACACAAATGAAATGCCACTTTAGGGCTGAGAAACAAATAAAATAAAAAATACAATTCCAACCCAGTGCATATCTTCTGTGTTTAGGGTAAACAAAACACACAAACTGTCTATTAAACAGAAGTGACAGACACATGGATAAGAAACATACCGTAAGAGTCTACTTTTATAATATAATCAATTGCATTAATTAAACTGGTTATCCAGGGCACTGAAAGAGACCCGCAGTCTTACTCACTTGAGAAGCTGAGTCAGGGGTATCACAGGTCAGCCTGGGTAGTGGTGTGAGCCTGAGGTGGGAGATGGGAAAGAAATGGAGGGAGGAAGGCAGGCAGGCTAGATTGCAATATGTCTTCATCTTATCATTCTGGGAATAGAGCCAGAGTTTTCTCAAAACATAAATGCACTTGTATAATGTTATTATAGTACAGTTTTCCATCACAAGTTTCCTTTTATATACACATAGGCCTGAGATGATCTTAATTTAGCTTCGGATAGACTAGTTTATTTCAGCAACTAATACTTAAAGCATGTATTGAAATTCCTTTGATATTTAAATATTTCCCTAATTTCTTTCAGAGCCATGTAAAATTACCAATGAATGCTTCAAAACCTCCATCGACAATCCCTTAGTGATTAAGAAGGTAAAGAAATGGTGTCTGCAGCTAGCTGACCGACTTCTAATCAACGCTGCCTACAGCTGACGAACTGACTTGTAATCAATGGTGTCTGCAGCTGACTGACTTCTAATCAACGCTGCCTACAGCTGACGAACTGACTTGTAATCAATTGGTGTCTGCAGCTAGCTGACCGACTTCTAATCAACGCTGCCTACAGCTGACTAACTGACTTGTAATCAATGGTGTCTGCAGCTGACTGACTTCTAATAGACCTCTGCTTTACAATCCTTCTGAGAAGTCTCTTTCACAATATTTCTACAGCTTTATTAACGTATAGCTTTATGATATAGGATGTTTATATCCCAAAGGCACAATTAGATGGATTTTGACAAGGACATCTACACCCACTGGCAAAGTAGAACCGAGTCAGGAGTAAGCAGCTCCAAGGGTTTCCCTGGGAGCCCCACCCTACCAAAAACAAATGACGATGGTGGCACAGACTTTTAAATTTTATGTCAATGAGGCCACATACAAGTTTCTTTCAAAATCTGGTTTCACTCAGCAAGATTATTCTCAGATCCACTCCTTTGCTATGTTGATTCTTCTGAATGCCAAGTGACTCAGGGCTTGCTTGTCTCACTGCCATGAACCCAGGCTCATGTTGAAGGGCATCTAGGCCATGTCCACATTTTCACAAAGCTAAGATGAACACACAAGTCTTGGTGTACTTCCTGGTCAGTCCCCACAAATACAATAGCTGACTCTTAACATTGGTTTAGTGTCAACATTTTAAAGGAAGTTGCTTTCTTTTTTTCCATTTCCTTAGTACCTGGCAGAGTTCCCTTTCTCCACTTCCTCCTGGAAAGTAAATGATTGGTTTTCATTCTTAGCTAATAGAAATGAAGTGTACTCGTGTTTTGTCATGCTAGCATGAAGGAGGCTGAATCCTGACTGCTGCCTTCAAACACACACACGCACACAAATTGAAAATTAGGAGAAAAGAGAAAAAACAAACAAACACAGACACACAAGGTTGATCCGGGTGTAGTAGTGTGTTCCTTGCATGGTTTTAGTTTTGACTTTTTCTCATAACTGATGAAGATGACCAGTCCCATCTTCTTCCCGGTCATTTAGGTAACCTTTTATGGGATGTGGATGTACAGATCTCTTGCCTGTCTTTGAAGTTGAGTTGTTGACCTCTTTGCGATTGTGATATGAAAGCTTCCTACAGTCTATGTGAATCCTTTACTACAAGTGTTTTACAGATGTTTTCTTTAAATCTGAACCCTGCCTTTTTGTTTCAAAATCTCTTTTAAAAATGTTATTTTGGGCAAGGCTTAAATTCTAATTTTTTGTTATGTTTTCAAATTTGTATGCTGCCCATCTCTGCTGTGTTTTACTATGGTGGCCAAACCGCTGGTGCAGTGTTAACTAGAAACAGTGGGAGCCGACTGCCTTGCCTTACATTTGATGCTCATGAGAGAGAGTATCCAGGCTGCCCGTCTGAAGTACATGTTGGTTCTCTCTGTTAGGATGCCCATACATGACTGAGGGGGCTTCCTTCTATTTCCATTAGGTAGAGGGCGAATTTCGCCAAGCAATTTTTCAGCATTTGAGATGATACTATGATTTTTTTAGGTTATTAACATAGTGTGCTCTGAGCTTTGAGATCTGTCTTTCAGACAGTTTCAGGTAGTCAAAAAGAAAAGTTTTTATTTTTCATTATCATACAGTGATCTCAAGGCAAAAATGTCTACTATATTTCATGAGCTTATGTTTCTTACTTCCTGCTTACTTTTGACCTGTTAATTCCTTGTTGTGTATACCTTCTGAGTTTTTCATTCTTTAAAATTCCCACCAGATATTTCAGTTATGTTCAGTGAGAGAATTGGAGGGCAGCAGTAGTGTACGCAGGAGAAGCTTTCATAAACAATGGGTCTGAATCTGACACAGCCTCGCTTTTGCGACTGCCAACAGCTAAGAGCTCTTCTGTCACTCTGGCCAAGTCCAGCCAACTCGTTTCCTCACTAGCCTGGTGTGTTGGTCAATACTGGGCACAGCTGAGGGAGGTTGGAAAGTCTTTCCTGGAGCAAGCACTGAGACCCAAGGCTGCTGGTAGCACTTTGGACTCAAAGTTCCCATGCTTTTTTGTTGTTGCCATTGCTTACACTGCGGACTGTGTTTCCAGCCCACCCCACAACCGGCTTTTTTATTTCCTATTCAGCTAATAAAGAGGATAACATTGTACAGCTCACAGAACTAAGCCTCTTTAAGAAAAAGCATGAATCTTCTCCCTGCCCTCTGGTGGTAAAATGACTCTTCCCAGTGCAGCACAAATTTCATGTGGTCAGAGCTGACTGCTGCCTGGAACGACCATAAGCAAAAGCATTTCATGTTCACTGTTTAAATTATTATCTTGAGTTTCATCAAGGGATTTAATGATTTCAACCAAAGTCAATAATATGTCACTATCAGCTTTGTCTCTGGACACAAATGTTTGGTAGAGTTTAAAGGACACTCAAAATTATTAACATTGTTTTTGCTTTTATACACACACACACACACACACACACACACACACTCACAAAGAGAGAGCCAAATAAATGTAATTTTAAAATGTAAGCAAAGTTAAGTGCTTCTCGTTAATTTATATAGAAATTACAAGTGCAAAAATGCATGCCAATCATACTGTCTCTTCGATATAGGATGAATTTAAAGCCAAAAAGCCACTACTGGCTCCACGGATGTGCTCTGCTGCTGGCTCACTGTCCTCAGCAGTGAACACCAAGATGGATGGGAATGAAAACACTGTGAGCATACCAAACTATCTGGACCAGGAGATAAAAGTAAGAGAATGGTTTATTAAAAACCATGGCTTGACAAACAGCAAACACCACTTGGACTGGCAATGTTTTCACAGACTCCCCTTGGTGCTGTTGGAAATGGAGTTCTCAAACTAGAGCCCAACAGACCCAAGTATCATGTACCTAGAGTGACATTTGGGAAGATGAAATTCTACAGAAAGAGAAGGAAATCTTACGAGCCTGGTGCCATTTATTTCCTAATTTTGTGTTCCCTGGCAGATCCTGTCAAAGCTCTGTGACATTTTACATACTGATTCTCTGGCAGAAGTTCTGCAGTGGTTGCTTCATGCAAGTTCCAAAGGTAAGGTTAAAATGAGCATTTGCAGGCTCTGACCTGATGAATGTGACAAACTGAAGACTCATGCTTGAGGTTTGCAAATGAATATGGCAAAATTATTTCCCCAGAGTCCCTGTAAGCCTGTATACCTACCTGCATTTATGTTGGGCAATTGGATAATCAAACAATTAGTGTATCTCAAACTAAACTTAGTACAAAAATAGGAAACATGTATGCAGATGGAAGTTTCTGTCCCAAGTGGTACCACAGCCATTCAGTCCCAAAGAAACACACTGAGGCTTGTATTAATTATATACTGTTTGACCTGTTAGCTCAGGCTTATTACTATTTCTTACAAGTTAAATTAATCCATAATTCTTGCCTGTGTTTAGCCATGTGACTTGGTACCTTTTCTCAGTAAGACATTCTCAAATTGTTTCCTCTGTGTCTGACTGGTGACTGACTCTCTGTGTTCCCTCTTCCCAGAATTGTCCTAGTCTGGTCGTCCCACCTATACTGTCTGGCTACTGGCCAGTCAGTGTTTTATTAAACTAATATGAGTGACGAATCTTTACAGTGTACGAGAACATTATCTCAAAAAAAAGAACATTATCTCACAGCATTTCCCCACTTTTTTTTTCAAAATAAGAACTCTGATTCTAATCTCCTTGTTTAGTCTTTTTTCTTCCTGACCATTATCCATAACAACGTGTACTGTGGGACAATAGTCTTATACCCTGTAAAGATTTGTCACTTTTACTGGTTTAATAAAACACTGGTTGGCCAGTAGCCAGGTAAGAAGTATAGGCAGGGCGACTAGAATAGGAAAATTCTGGGACAAGGAAAGGCTCATTCTGCAGCCACCACCCAGATGTAGAGGAAGCAAGATGAGAATGCCTCACTGAGAAAAGGCATCAAGCCACGTGGTTAGCATAGACAAGAATTATGGGGTAATTTAAGATGTAAGAGTTAGCTAAAAAATATGCTTAAGCTATTGGCCAAACTGTAATTGATACAGTTTTTGTGTTATTATTTGGATCTGGGCAACTGGAAAACAAACAAACAGTCTCCACTCACAAGCTTTAACCAACACTCTAAGCAAAGACAAACATCCATAATCAATTTTTGGGGAATGTGGGTGCATTTTTCTAGGTTACTTCCTGCTGATTGGGGGCACTGATAATCTTATGGGGACCCAAAGAAAATCTGGGATACGGTAAAGTCCTGTCTGGAGTATTCTGTGAGGATTGTTCATCTCAGTCAGCAGTCTTGAGACTGTTCTGGATGTAGAACTCAGAGGAAACTGCAACAAAGGTGCTCTAAAATGTTGGGTCATCTGGGCTATCCATTCCTATTAGAGATATTTCAGGGGAGTCTTCCTTGATCAAACCTTATTTTTCTTAAGCAAGAATGAATCGATAGCCTCTCATTTCCTATGAAAACAAAAGCAAAACCTCTTCTCCAAAGTAACATATCTTTTGACTTAAATTTTAAAGTCAAGGCATTTTTAAAGTATATAGATTAGATTAATCTAGCAGCATTTATAATTAAATGTCTTTTAGCAGCTGTTACTCTTTCCTCAGTAGTCAAACAATTCAAAGACAACACACGAACATACAGTATCCAGACTCTGTGTATTTTCAATCTTTACATAGCTTTTTTTTCTTACTCTATTTCTTTTTTAAGGACTTTATCCTTTTTCTTTTCTCTCCAAAGCCTACATATTTTTAAACACACTGTAAACCATTTAGAGGAGGGTTTTTGTCGTTGTTCAAATCTATCTTTACTGTATAACTGTATCTTTTCTGACCACATGAAACTAAACAGAATGGCTAGGATTAAAACTGCAGCTTTGGTAACTGACTCTGCCCATTCTTTGGCTTCCTGAGAGTCTAGCTTCATGACAGAAGTATTGGCAGGAACTTGTTTATTGCCACAACTCTGCTGAGTTTCTAGGTCCATGCCACCACCAAGAAGCATGCTGCTGGCTGCTCATAAACACCATTTAAGTGTTTGGTGGCAGCGCCTCTTTAAAGAGCTATGAGTTCTTGCTGCTAACACTGAGTCAGGAAGCTTCTCTTAAAGGAGCCACACCTCTGCTTGCTGCCAGCAAACAGAGCCCATGGGAGTAAAGACAGTTACCAAGAAGCTGCACTTGACTCTGTTCTTGTCTGCCCAGAATCTTTCTATTTTTTAAGCTTTCTCAGGCTTTATGTGGAAATTCTTGCCAAATGTTTGGGCACCATTTCTGTCCCACCTGTGATGTGGGAGTAATTTCTTATTAATAAAGAAACTGCCTAGACCCATTTGATAGGCCAACCCTTAGGTAGGCGGAGTAAACAGAACGGAATGCTGGGAGAAAGAAGCTGAGTCAGGGAGTCGCCATGATTCTCCCACTCCAGACAGACGCAGGTTAAGATCATTCCTGGTAAGCCAGCTCGTGGGCTACACAGATTAATAGAAATGGGTTAGATCAATATGTAAAAGCTAGCCAATAAGAAATTGAAACTAATGGGTCAGGCAGTGTTTAAAAGAATACAGTTTCCGTGTAATTATTTCGGGTAAAGCTAGCTGGATGGCGGGACACAGCCCGCCACTCCATATTTCAACAGAGTGGCACCCAACGTGCTAATAAACTCCACGTAAAACCTGAGAGGGCTTAAAAAGGAGAGAGAGAGAATTTAAGACAGCTTTTTGCTGTTTGTGGGTTGCGTGCCGCAAAGAAATTGTCCTGACTCAGCAGCAGGAAAAAACTGGCTGTTTTAAAATGCCGGCTTTCTGGGCTGTGCCGCCATTACGATCTCTGTCTGGCTCCTGTGGGAGACAGAGCTTTTGAATGGAGCATTTGGAATAAAGCTCTACGGCTTGCTTGATGGCAATGTGGACTGCTGTGTGCCTGGAACTGTGTGTGGCTCAGGGGCACCAAATGGCTCTGAGGCAGGAGCGACTTGGCTCAGCTCTGCCATGCTGAACTGTGCTGGTCTCAGGCAGGAACTACCGTAATTACCATAAAAACAGCACATTTAAGGTTTCAACTGGGCAGGACACAGGCGGTACCGTATTACCTGTACATGGCGCAACTTAAGTTTTTAAGAACTGCTTAACATTTTAAGAAATGTTCCTGTATAGTAAAAAAATGTTATAGATTCACAATAAAACAGATTCAGACATAAAAGACCACACTGTTGGATGAATGCACATAGACTTGAGAGAGAGAAGAAAAAGAATATAAAAAATAAAGTTAATGGTTTAAAAAAAAAAGGTAAAGTCTTTAAAGAGACAGAGTACAGATAGTTAAGAGATTAAAAGAAATAAAGAAAAATAAGCCACGTAAAAATGGAAAATTCACAGAGAGTCTGGATTATGTACATTGTGTTTTCTTTAAAATTTTTGACTGTGAAGGAGCTAAGTACAGAGAGACATTTCATTCTATGGGCTGCCAAGTGGAACCAAAACGGATATCATGAGGGTATGACTTCAGAATTTGGGTCTAAGGATATGATGCTTTGGAAAGGGTCTTCTTTTGTTTTCACAGAGGACCAGACCCTGTGGATTGCATCTATCCCGATATGGTATGATAGACCACGACCTCCCGAAAAGTTCCTGTGAACACCCTCAAAAAATTACTTCACTCAACTGGCAACTGAGATAAACCTGGCACACAGGTTACACCCTAAATGATCTGATTAACAGCGCCCCCATTCAGCAGGAAGCAGTTTGGAGAGAAAAAACTGCGCCCATGTTCCCAAAATATTGTTTGTAAATGTTCTTTTACATTTAAAGGGGGAAATGATATAGGTATGAGTAATTTGCATTGGTGTGGATTTTACAGTCAATTTTGTTATATGTATATGTATTTCTGATCTTGATTAAGGTATTGTGATTGTGTAGTTCATTTAAAAATGTAATGTATAATTAAGAAATATAGGTTAATGGTTAATCATCAATAATAGTCAATCTTGTAGTCATGTTAGTTAGATTTTCTAGATATATAGAGATACGTTTCAGTTAGATAGACATTCTTCATATCTTTCAAAGACTGCAGAATATGGCATTTAATGTTTTAATAACTTAGGACTTTTCATGACAATGAGACATATCTGCTCCTGGTGGCACCAATCTACTTCGAGAGGAAGATGGGCATCGAAGAGGATCCTTATGGAGTTGGATAACCATTTGGGCAAGAAACTGCTCTTGCCTGGACTGTTGCATAAAATGGACACAGAGAACCCGCAGAGAGAGGACTGCTGAACTTGCCTAAAGGTGAGACGGTCTTTTGGGGTTCATGACTCATGAAAGAGTCTGCGAGATATTCTGCAGGACACAGCAGATAGTGACTGAACTGTCTTTAAAATTTCCTGCTTCATGGAAATGTCTGCTGGATACTATGGGCCTGAAGACTGAAGATGGATGCCCCAACCATACAAAAGAACTTTGGGTGACTGTCCAGGCAGCAAGATGTCTCTGTCATTTCTAGAGTTTTCTTATTTCTTGTTTACTTAGGTAGTATTATATCCTTCTGGAGTCTTTGATGGAATTGAAGAATGAATAGATAGTTATAGTTTTCCTTAGTTATGATAAAAGATAAAATAGATATAAATATTGTAACTGTAATTCTTGCTTGATAACTGTTTTGCTATATGTAATTTTACTATGTTAAAGTTAAAGCCTTTCTTTTTTGTTTAAACAAAAAAAGGGGAAATGATGTGGGAGTAATTTCTTATTAATAAAGAAACTGCCTAGACCCATTTGATAGGCCAACCCTTAGGTAGGCGGAGTAAACAGAACGGAATGCTGGGAGAAAGAAGCTGAGTCAGGGAGTCGCTGTGATTCTCCCACTCCAGACAGACGCAGGTTAAGATCATTCCTGGTAAGCCAGCTCGTGGGCTACACAGATTAATAGAAATGGGTTAGATCAATATGTAAAAGCTAGCCAATAAGAAATTGAAACTAATGGGTCAGGCAGTGTTTAAAAGAATACAGTTTCCGTGTAATTATTTCGGGTAAAGCTAGCTGGATGGCGGGACACAGCCCGCCGCTCCGTATTTCAACACACCTGGTCACAGAGGCTTGTATTAATTATAAACTGTTTGGCTTATTAGCTTAGGATTATTATTAACTATCTTTTACAACCTAAATTAACCCATAATTCTTGTCTGTGTTTAACCACATGGCTTGGTACCTTTTCTCAGAGTCATCTCACTTCCTCTGTGTCTGGCTGGTGACTGACTCTCTGCCTTTCCTCTTCCCAGAATTCTTTGTCCTGTTGCCCCACCTATACTTCCTGCCTGGTTACTGGTCAATCAGCATTTTATTAAACCAACACGAGTGACAAATCTTTACTATGTAGAAGAGCGTATCCCACAGCATATGACTTCTCAGCTAAGGCTGGTTTCTGCATCTCCTCCATGATTCATATCCCAGGACTCTCCATGAACATTTCTGGACTACTGTGAAATCTGAACATAGGCTTGCTTTTTGCCTTTGGTGTGAATGACGGCAGCATGGCCTTCCATGTTTCAAATCCTAATAATTATAATGATTTAATCTTAGCTAATGCCTGTTATCTCTTGGGATGTCCCTGGTATGTGTCATTAAAATACCGATACCAGGGCAATCCATACAGCACACATCAGCTCTTCTTAAACTAGCTGATCATCAGACTGAGCCAAAACCTCCTACCCAGGCCTCAAGAATCTGCCTTTTGAACATGTTCCCAGGGGATGCTGACAGGTGATGTCGTTGTGTGGAGCACTCTCTGAGAATGGGAGGCATTTTGGAAAAATAGTAGCTTGCCATAGAGTTCAAAAGTACTTTTTAATTACAAAATGCTTAGGGGCAATTTTCTATGGAGGGGGCTTTTAAGAGAATGCGACATTTAATAAATTACACACATTTACAAAAGATGTTATTACTCAGGTAAGTGTGTATATTTGTGTTTGGGGGGGGGTGGAAGCAAGAGCATCCATGCATAGTACACAGTGGACCAGCAAGAAGTAGGCAGGAGGGATGGGAGGGGAGAGGGGAGTGAAAAAGAATGAACTGAAGTTACATAAATGTACAACGGTGCAATAATGAACCCATTACTGACCTAAGAGGGGACAAACCCTGCACGTCTGGTCAATCCAACAATAGCAGCTTTCATGCTCTCCAACCTCTTTTCCCCCAATCAGAAAAGGAGTGGGTATCAGCTTTGGTTCATTCTGAACTATCTGAGATTAACTTGTTGAGTCAGCATGGAAGAAATACCCCAGCAGAACCAATGGCAGAGCTCAGGAAGCAATCCATAACTGTAAAACCCACCACAGCCAAATCGATGCAAAATATGCCTGCAAAATCCAAAGTGCTGACCAGACTTAGAGATGGACACCAGCCATTCAGGTGATTAAACGTGGAGGTCACCCCGAGTACCTCTGTACAGAAAGATGTCACACTTTCTTGTTTTAGCTTTCAACTGCTAATCATGCTGAGGTTTTAAGTCTCAACTCTACCTACTAAGAGACCACACATATGTAATTGTTTTCTTTCATTTTCACACATAATAACAAAGTTGTTCTCAGTTTCGTTTTGGCAGAGGGTATGTTCTATAGCTAATAACCTTTCTCTTCTGAAAAAATTCCCTTTCCTCTAATGGTAAAGTATATCTAGAGATCTAAGAAAATATAAAGCTTTAAAGGGGTTTCTAAAGGTTATTTTAAAATTGTGTGTGTGTGTGTGTGTGTGTACAAGTGCAGTACCCAGAGAGGCCAGAAGAGGGCATCAGATGGCCCTATAGCCAAGTCAAGCGAAGTTGTGAGCCTCTTGGTGTTGAAAGCCAAACTTGGGTCCTCTATAAAACTATAAGCTTTCTTAACCACTGAGCCATCTTTCTAGCTCCAAGAGCTTTAAAAACCTTTAAGCATGTAAACCATAAAAGTCTGAAACTATTATTAGCATTACACATACTTTGTATATTTTATTAAATGCTAGTATTATATAGGCATGGATTTAAATGTAAAGCAATGAAGATAAAAATAAAATCACTTCAACTGATTTTCATTGCTATATTCCTGGAAAGTTTCAGAGAGAAAATAATCACTAAGCCATTTGGGAATTGTTTTAAGAGCAGCATTTCTTAACCTGTCTGGTTTTCCCGCCTATATTTCCTGCCTGGCCAATCAGCGTTTATTTATAACATGATTGACAGAATACAGACAATTTTCCGGCACCAAGTAAACACCTGTAATCTCAGTGCCGAGGAGACTAGAGCAAGAGTTTGAAAGTTTAAAATATAAAGCTAGCCTGAACAAGATAGCAAGAACCTGTATCCAAAGAAAAACAAACAAACAAACAAAAGAAACACACATATATTTATTTATGTATAACATGTTGAAGAAATGTGTGTTAGGCTGGGGGAGAAAATTCTGTTGGTTTAAAATAAAAGGTTGGATTAAATGTCAAGTCACAGAAATAATATGATAAAAAAAAAAAACAATGCCACTTTTAAAAGTATACATTTTAACTGTCTACCCCGTTAAGTTTCTGTGAAGTCAGAAAGTAAGGCCTGGTAAGAGCTGACAACTTCCTCTTAGTTAGTGGCTTATTATAGGCCCGCAAAAGTAGTCATTGGTACATAACTCAAACCAGGGTTGGAACAGCGTGTTTTAGACACCAATAGCTTGCTGACACTATAGTCTGTTGCTATCTCTCAAATTCTTTTTCTTTCTCCAATTGATTTAGAACGTCAAGTCAAGGATCTGAAGGCAATAGGGCGGTCTCACAAGGTAAGTACAGTTTGTGGTGACTGCAGACGGTATAAGGAAATCAGTAGGTACTAACTACTTAGGGACACGGGTGCTAAGGATCTTAGCTTTCAAAGGACAATCTGTGAGGCTTAGGAGCGGCTTTCAGCCCCCGACTTCACACTTTCTTGTTTTCTCTTGCAACTGCTAGGCCAGAAGAGGGCATCAGATGCCCCTAGAGCCAAGTCAAGGGAAGCTGTGAAGGTGTGTTCAATCCCACTCTTCTAAAGCCCTTCTGCTCAATTTTGCATATGATAAATCTGACAAAAAAAAAAAAAAGCATTGTCTTTGGGACCAAGCACTGAAAAGCAACACAGCTGGACATTAGGGGCTGCAGGTAGTCACACCCATTCTCTGAAAAGGGTCGCTGACCCACACAGAGACAGCAACTTCCCTGGCTTAGCCTGCTCAGCTTAACTGTCATGGACCTAAATGATTTTACCATAAAGAATACCAATCAGAAAAAAAAATATGATTGCAGCAGTCACAAACAGGTATCCTGTGAGGCGGCTGAAAACCAGCGTGGCCCCGTTAGAAGCTCAGTACCAGCCTGCAGTTTAGACCAGAGAGATTCAATCATCATTAGAAAGCCTACATCGGTCCTGAATAGTCCAACAGTGGCCTCCCTGGAGGATTGTAGCTCCCAGCATTAAAACAAGAACGCATTAATGATTACAGAGCAATTGTTATGTATATCTACAGATCTCAAATACAAAATCTGTCTTGTTTCTCCAGGTTCCCCTCTTCTTCCCAGATGTCTCCTATTTATTCTCTCTGCCTGCCAGCCCCACCTATTCTTTGTCCTGCCTTGCTATTGGCTGTTCAGATCTTGATTAGACCAATTAGGTGTTTTAGGCAGGCAAAGCAACACAGCTTCACATTTAAACAAATGCAACATAAAAGAATACAACACATCTCTGTATCATTAAACAAATGTTCCCCAGCATAAATAGAACACATCTTTAACTAATAGTCTACAACACTCACCATAACCTCTAAGAGTGAGAAAACAGATCATGTATGTTAGCACAATTCTCTCATTGAAGGTGAAGGTGGTACAAATGATAGATTGTTATGACTTTGGAGTGATTTTGAATCTCTAACCTTCATGTTCGTTCTATTGTTGACCCCACACCACTCACTAATAAAACAAGGCAAGAGCTATATTCAGTCTCTTAATTATAGTCTTAATTCATTTTTTTTCCTATTTCAGGGGCTGAGACCCAGTTGTTTCTAAGAAGAAACAAGCCAAAAATACCTGTTACAGAGTATTTCAGCAACCCAAAGTCTCCTCTCAGGCCCACTACCCAGGACAGTGGATCAGCAAAACCAGTGTCAGTGAGGAGTGTGCGAGGATACAGCACTCAAACAGTAATCTACCCCTTAACCACACCAAAAGCAGATGAGCACTGGCCAGTTCGTTCACAAAGACGAGCTTCACACTGACAGAACTTCCAAAATAGTTTTAAAAATAACTAAACGGTCCTCCATATGGAGGCACATGTAAGTCTCAAAAACGCGTGTACATAATGCTAGAAATAAATATAAATGAAGACATTATTTCTATTTGTAGTTTTAATACACATCAAAGAAATATTCTTATTTAAATGCCATTTCCTGCCCTGTACTAATAGTAGTATCTAAGCATAGAGGTAATACCAGAAAGCCATCCATAATCATAATCAGAATTGAGTGCTGAATCTCAATCCAGAGTAGGGGAAAATTGCTCAAGAATTTTAACATTTGAGTCAGTTTTGGCAACCTATAACTTTTCTATGTTTGGAATCTATTATGGAAAAATTCTCATCTTCTCTCCAAAAAGAAAAAAAGTATAAAAATTATCCTTAATTCATAAGCCAGAAAGTTTATTTCCACACAGTGTTAATGGTGAATGTTAATAATCAATATAGATTTTTTTGTGTGTTTTTTAAATTAACTATTTTTGGGCCACAGTTATTATTTTTAGTAAAAGTTTGTAACATGCTATGGTTCAACCATAACAGGGTTTATTTCTTTTCTTTTTTCTTTCTTTTTTTTTTTTTTTTTTTTTTTGATTTTTCGAGGCAGGGTTTCTCTGTAGCTTTTGGTTCCTGGCCTGGAACTAGCTCTTGTAGACCAGGCTGGCCTCGAACTCACAGAGATCCGCCTGCCTCTGCCTCCCGAGTGCTGGGATTAAAGGTGTGCGCCACCACTGCCTGGCAGGGTTTATTTCTTACATAAGAGTTTAGGGCTAATGTTCATATGCAGTGGATCCCTTTGCATTGCTTGTTGATTGAGAGAGGCCCAGGATCCTTCTACCTTGTGGCTCAATAATCATCTAAGGGTATCACTGCCAATTGTACCCAGCAGGCCAAAGAGAATTAGACCAGAGGAAAGCACTAAATTTTCTACTGTTGCTGTAACAAAGCATTACAAACTTTGTGATTTAATGCCACACGATTTTATTTTATCATAATTCTGGAGGTAGAGATGTGGAATGGGCTATTATGAAAATGAAGTAATTTTCCTTTGGGAGGGTCTGGGAAGAGTCTGGGTTTTTTTGTCTCCTACACACCCCTTCATTCATGGCTTTCCTCTATCTTAAAATAGAACCATAGACAAACAAGTAGTTCACTTCTTATAATGGATCAGTCAGACACTTTTACCTGCTTCTTATAAAGATCACACTGGGCCTGTTCTCCAGACTAATACAGATCATATCACTGGGGGCTGAGAAGATGGCTCCAAGGGGAAAGTGATTACTTTCAGGTCTGATTTCCTCTTTCCAGTTACTTAGCTTTTTTTTTTTTTTTTTTTTTTTTTGGTAATGAATATCTCCATGGGTTGGTTCACTCCCTGACTACTTTAGCCCTCTGTGCCCACTAGTTCAAGTCATCTCTACCTGTTCTTTTCTCCTTTTATTGCTTACCTGTTGCCATACAAAAAAAAAGTGAGAGAAAAGGCACATTCAGATTTTTGTCAATGGTCTTTAAGTGCTATTTTTAGAGCCCATCTTTAAATAATTCAGAAATTAATTATTTGAAAGTGAGCATTGATTCTTGTCTTCTGGCCGATGCTGAAAGAAGATATGCTGTTTTAAATGTGTGTGTATGTGTGTGTGTGTGTACCACTTGTGTGCAGGTGCCCTTACAATACCGGGAGGCAGGAGTGTGGCCCTACCATGCTTGATTCTGAAGCTGTAGAGACTAAGCTGTGGTTACTTTAGCTTGCTCAGCCTGTGCTGACTTCTTACAGTACACCTCAGAAACCTATACAGAGCTTTTGCAATTAATAAAAACTAAACCACGTGGTACTTGAGATAACTTCCTTCACTTTTATAATTAATAGGGTTCTGTTCTATATAGAATCGGTGGAGGCATGGAGTAGTCACACTTCTCTGGCTGCATGACAGAATGCCCTGACAAAAGGCAGGGGAAGGGCAGGCTAGCAGCAGGCCTAACTGGCCTGGCAGCTAGGAAGCACCTGTCACATTTTACCTGAACAAAGGAAATAGAACTGGCTATAAACCCTCAAAGCCCACCCCCAGTGACACGCTTCCTCTAGCAAGGCTTCACCTCCCAAAGTTCCCACAACCTCCAAAACAGCACCATCAGGGGAGACCAAGTGTTCAAACATGGGCACAGGCGACGCTTACAAAACAATGTTATCAGGGGAGACCAAGTGTTCAAACACAGGCGCAGGGAACTCTCACAAAATACAAACCTTGGACAATACAGTAACAACATGAACTTTATTCTCTCAGAACTGTAGTGTGGATATTTACATCCATTGTTTATAGACTTTGAAATAACTAGCTACAACAGATAACTAAGAAAAAAGCAACAAAAAGACAGTGAACATCACTACTGAGTCTTCCACACAGGCTTGCACCTAAGTGTGATGCTAGCACACACACATATTATCTAATAAACTGGGAGCTCCCGCTGCACTTGTGCATACACTCCTCTGGAATTACCACACAGAAGCTCGGCAGCTCCCCTCTGCTCCCTCCTCATCAGTTTCCAAACTCCTGTTTAATTTTGGATTTGGGCATTAGTGCATTCCACACAACCATTCCACGGTGATACATTGATTACAGGACTGTAATCGTGGACTAAAACCTAAGAGCTAAACGTGCATTTTCCTGTATGCTTACGTTGTTTATAGAAACACACATTTACATTAGTTAGGATAGTATAGTAGGAGGCAGATACACAATATTCACATTAAAAGCTAACATATATGGAGATATATGTTATTTACATGAAAAATATATAGAAAGAAAAGATATTACTTTTTGCTTTAAACTGGGGTAAAGACAAATTGATCCTTCAAAAATAATATTGTAAAATAATCTAGTCAGAAAAAATTTAATTTTGTAACTGAATTAATTACTGTTATTAAGGGATTTAAGATTATTCTTGTGATTATTTCAGAAGTATGAGAAGGCATCACAAGGGAGGCACAAGAATGGGTTCCACTATCCAAAATGAATGAATTACTGTGACCAGCAAACAACTGGTATTTCTCCTAGAATTAACTTATTTCTTAGAAAGAACCATACTGAACACAAAAGTTACAGACAGAAGGGCAGCCTTCTGAGTTCAACACTGTAGTAGACACACAGAACGTGCATGAAATCTGCTCCAATAGAATCAGACAAACAGTCACTGATGGGAACATAAACGAACAAAGCTGAAGGTCAGAAGGCACATTCTGAAGAAGATGCTCCAGCGAATGAAGGAGAATAAAGGCCTAAGACTACGGTAACATTCTCCATGACTCTGATTTGAGGCTTAAAACAACTTTGAAATGATACCTTTAAGTCTTCTCACAGAAAACCAAACAATCCTTTCTTGGTGTTTAGAGTGTTCATTATCGTTGACTCTTGACAAGATTTCAAATTCCACAACAGTGATGAGAGAAAATGGATTTTCTTGTGGTCTGAGAATTTGGTGGTACCACCCTCTCTGAGTTCTCCTAAAGTGTAGGACAGCAAGGGAAGGCTGGTCACTGTGGGACAGGACTCACTGAGGACACTGGGCTGCTCTGCTGGCCTTGCTCTTCCTTCTGTGGTGAGTCGGGGTCATTCCCGCAATGCTCTCCCTCGCTGGAACTGTCCCATCCTTCTGGCCGGGGCTGCTGGTCCTGAGGAGAGCTTTCACAGCCTTTGTGTGCAGGAACAGCTCCTTTCCGCCGGGGTAAGATCGTAAAAAATGCCTCCTGCCAGTCTCTTGTTTCCAAGAACTCCAGGATAATTTCAAACACTGCAACAAGGACAAATCGCAGTCACCACAATGCTGCAGACTGTCTACAATGTGACCTTTGTGCTGTGTGCTGGTTTGTCCTAGTTACTGCCAAGTTCTTACCTCCTCCTTTAGTGATTTTTTTCATTTGTATTTTAATAAATAATGCTTGCCTGAAGATCAGAGAGTAAAACAGCCCCTCTGGTCAGTCTTACAGACTAGGCAGTGGTAACACACACCTTTAATCCCAGTAGCTACACTAGTTTGCCACAGAAACTGGGTGATAGTGGTGCACACCTTTAATCCCAGCCCTAGAAAGGAATATAAAATGGGAGGAGCCAGCTCTCAGGCTCAATCTCATTCTGAGATTCCTGGAGGAGGACCGCCATTTCTGAGGTAGAGGTAAGAGTCAGTGGCTGGCTGCTTTGCTTTTCTGATCTTCAGGTTAACCCCCAATATTTATCTCTGGGTTTTTACTAATTGTGCCACCTCCTTCCTCCTTTTGGCTACCAGGGACAAACTGCATTGCGGTTCTCTAGTCTTTATGTTCTTTCCAGCTTTTTTCAGTCAGTTCTTAAGCTCCAGAAACTTACTAGATTGGTTGTCCATTACAATCAAGAGAGGACCTTTTGAGGTCCCATTATTCTCCATCTCTATGTACTAACGGACAGCTGGAAGACAGATGCTGGGCATTCAGCTGCATCTCCTGTCTTTCCTACAGAGAATCACTCCAAGGAGTCTTTTGCTTTCACATCAGTAGAATGGAAACCATGCCATCCCTAAGTTCACCATACTATGAGAGGGCTCTCTCGATAATTTTGTAGACAAGTAATTTCCACTAAGTATCAAAGGTTTTCAAAGAAATTTGTCCTTGAATAAATAATTTCATTTTTCTAATCCCATAAAGCCTATTACATGAAAAGTATTTAACTGTTGTGTACTGACTAAAATTGTTCCTTTAAAAAATGAACTAAAGGGGCTAGAGAGATTGCTCAGTGGTTAAGAGCACTGGCTGCTCTTACAAAGGACTGGGGTTCATTTCCTAACACCCACATAGTTGCTTATAACTACCTATAACTCCAGTTCCAGGGGATCTAATTCCCTCTTCTAGCCGCTACAGGCACCAGACATGCACTTGGTGCGCATACATACATGCAGGTCAAACACTCATACACAGAGATTAAAAATAAATCTTAAAAAAATCATTGAAGCTGGGTATCA